GATTTTATTTTTCCCTAACATGAGGCTGTGTGAAATGAATTGTGGTTTGTGTTTGGTAATTGGTTTGGTTTTGGGTTTTTTTCATGCTGAAGTTTTGACTGGTTTTGTGTTGCCATGATAATCGTCCTTTTTGTAGGGTGTAAAGAACAGTGTTTTTTAGTTAGGCTGTCTGAGTTCAGTCTTATGAGAATCATATACAAAATATCAGTGGGGAGGGGAAAGACGTTTATGTGCATTAAGGTATCTATTAAGTGTGTGGATGTCAAATCTGCTTCACAGGTGAGTCAACAGGAACAATTCATAACCTAAATTTATCTATCAGGTCTTATGAGTAAAGGAATTTGTTATTCCTATTTTCCTAAGTTCATTTCTCCTACACAGTTCTATCTGCTTTTCCCTCTAGCCAGTAAATAGCTATTCTTAGAGTTTTATGCATAATATAATTTAACAAAAGAAAATTAATGGGATTTTGTGAAATGCAATAGAAGAGCCAAACAAAGGTTACGCAAATTTTGAAAGTTTGAAAGTTTATTTTCTAGTCACGTAACAGAATCCAAAACAAACTATTCAAACCTAAAATTCTAAATGTTCATTAAAATTTGCTAGAATATTGTTTTCATATGGCATTTAGGAGTATTGCTTGCAGATAAGTCTCCTGCCCTGACAAAAATTGTCTGTATGATAATGGGACATGCTGCTCGTGGTTTGGTCCTGCAGATGCAGCAGGATGTGTGCTTCTTGGCACATCAAAGTTTTCTCGCAAATTCCTAGTTATCCCCCACCAATGCAGACTTAGATGATTGCATGGCTGGCACCATGAACTATCCATGTCTGTCCCCAGTCTCTGATGCACCCTGCTGTGATCTCGCCATCTTACTTTTTATATGCGTTCTTTGGGAGAAAAACCTTTTTATTTATTTCTGTACCTGAAAAGAAGCCACAAAACATGTTGCAAGTGCATTTGGATCCAGTTCAGAATTCCAGGTCATACAGTGGCCAAAACCACTGTTTTTCAGCATTGTAAGGAATCAGTTTTTCTCCTTAAAAGTGAGCATGCTTAGTTGATCTGGTTTTGTTGTTTCCCCCCCCCACACACACACGCACCTCTTTGCTTTCTCATTCTCCTGCCCTAGAGCATTTCAGTTTTAGTCACTGCATGACATTGCTTAAATCAGGGCTGAGATGAAGTCACAAATTGAACAGTAAGCCAGTCTTCTCCAAAATTCATGGGAGGGAACTGGATTCACAATTAATGACATAGATGAGTAAATGAATGCTGTGCAATTAAATTCACCTTAGCTTAGCTCTTTGGTTTTTTGTTTTATCAAATTAGTTGTTTGTTAGCGTTGATTGCAAACATCTTATTCATGCCACTATTCCCAAGTATCCGGACTTTGAGTTGCAAAGAGTAAAGTGGTTTGGAAAGAATCCAAATCAGTTCATGCAGAGGCTATGCACGTAAGAAGAAAACTACTTACAAAGTCCAAATATGGATTTTAGATGCACTTTTACCCTGACAAAAAAGACACTGTGCATATACATGTGTGCAAATGTGTGCGTGTGCATATATACTATCACATCAATCTAAAATTTCCCCCAGTTTACTGCCTTGCTTTCACATCATCATATGTCTTTTAATGTAAATTCCAGGTTTTCTTGCCCTTTAGGGAAAGGCATTTTTGTTTACTTTCTAAATAATGGTTTCCAAAGTATATGCAGTTCTCTACAGTTTTTTAGTATTGATTCTGAAAAATGAAAATTTTGAAAAATGAAAATGTTTTCATGCATGCAATTTGTAACTTTTTTAGAAAATAATACTTTAAATACCTGTAATTTCATCTAGTCCGACTAATCTGGCAGTGCTCTAAATTTACCCTGAGACAGAAGAAATATTCAAACTGTTTGGAAAAGAAGGTGCTTTCCTGTATACAAGTACTGTGCAATTAAATTACAACTTATAAACCTTTCCAATTTAGGATGTGTGTAAATGTACTGAAATTGGTGGATTAGAGCAGTGCTTACCCTCTTGTGCTTCTTTCTTCAAGAGGAATTTAAGCTTGGTCTGTTGTTCTTTTACACATGCCCTCATTCTGAGGATTCTAAGTATTATGAGTAGTTCAGACAATACTGTAACTATCATATACTCACAATTAAAGCAGCTCAGTACAATCGAGTGATGACTTTGAACTGTGTAAACTGTTTTCACAGTCCTGTGCAATACAGGATGTCACTTTGCACATGTTGGTGTTTTGTGGTGACCCTGGCCAGGCTGTGCTGATGGAGTACACATCTCATCTTCATGGTGGGGGAAAATCAATGTGGATCTCCTCACAAGCATGGTGCTGACCTCACTGGGTGCACTCTGTGCAGGCAGGATGGATGGGTGGATGTCTGCATGGGTTTTACCATGCACTTGGTCCTGGCATAACTCATCACAGCCTGGGGTTTTGATTCTGGGTCCCAGAGTCAAGGTGGGGTCACCAAGACGTCTGACAAGGCATCCTCATGTGTTAGAGGCCATGTGGCAGAAAATTCACCATTGAGAAGAGAAGGGCTCTCCTTCTCCCCACTTGGTGCTAATCATGGAGAACAATGCTGGCTGCTTTGCAAAATATTAGTACTGCTGTACAAAATCTGGGCCTCTGCTTATAGCCCGCTGAGTCAGACTTGTTTACTTCATTGAAGTATTAATCTCTGTCTCTGATTGGCAGTCAACAACTCCAGGCTCCAGGCTTAATAGAATTTCAAACTGTAGATTATGCAGTTTTGCTGAAAATATGAGGCTTCTGTCGCGTTTTGAATGACATATTGTCCCTCACTCCCCTTTGGTCTGTTTTTCAGGGCTGAGGTTAAGATAGATAATTAATTCCTCCCATCCCAAGCCTTGTCTTTTAATTTAAGAATTTTCTTTAGCATCTGCCAGAATCTTCTGCATGCACTCCTGAGAGGCTAAGCAATGAAAGAGCCATTAAATTAAGTTCAGACATTAATTTTTTTCAGTAGGATGAAATAGCACTTCAGTATATCAAGTGACTTCTGGTTTATGTTATTTCATGGCGTGGCAAAGAAATATGGGAAGAAGAAGCTGTTTCTCTGGTTGCATGAGAGGGTGGTGAGTTAGGAGGCCTGTCTTCTGGTTCTGCAGTTTACTTCTGTGTTAGCAAGAGGTAGGACAGGAGGAGGGGATCCTGTGATAGCGAGAAGTAGGACACAAGGAGTGGATCAGTGGAGTGAAACGTCTATTTGCCAAGGGCCTGATGTCCACACTACACAAATGGGGAGGATTTTCACTCACTCAGCTAATATATCACTTTCCTCTGAAATACTTTTCTGTTACCTGTAAAGCCTTTTGTGAGAACGAAGCAGTGTCAAGCTGTGCTCCACTGTTCTTTGTGTTTTGAGGTCCATAAACACCGTCACTGGTGAGTCATTCCTGGATGGGGCTCTGATCACTCTCCTGCTAAGTCTGACCAATTCTCCATATTGTGTCTTTGCCACTCCAAAAAACTCATATGTTCTTCTCACAGACATAACTTCACCATTTATAAAACCATGTATTTTAATATTGTCTAATAAATACCTGAAAGTAAATTAGTACAAAATCTACTGGAGTGATCTCTCTGGCAGACTGCATGTACATGTGCTGGTAAGTCCCAAACAGTAGCAGCAGGCTTAAGCTTATGTGTCAGAAACACAGCAGAGGAAAAATGGTCACTCTTGGAGTGCCTTGAATTAGCAATTTCATGCAGAATTTATGGCGGGTTTTAGTACACCAGCTAGTGAGGCTGAAATGTCACTGCTGCATTGAAATTCCATATGCCTCCTTCCTTTCTAGTGGTTCTACTTCTGTGTGCATCCAGTCTCACTGTTATTTCAGCAGATTTTAAAGATCCTCAGTCTTTTGCAATTGTATCATATGGCTGTCAATTCACAGACTTGACAACTTCCCTGCTTTTGGCAGTATACTGTTTCTTTTATTGCCAATATAGTGCCCTACTGGTTCTCGGGACAGGTGGTAGTTGAAGCTGCTGATTGTGGGGAAGTTCTGGAGAAACTCAAAGATGCGATTAATGGATCAACCCTGTTGTGCATGCACTGGAAGCCCAGTGTTATAGCTGTGTTAAATTACCTGTGTCTGTGATAAATGGACTGCACATACGAGGACAGTTTGCCTGGGCCACAGTTGGTTTGCGATGCATCATTTGCACATCAATTATATCCATGGTTAGGCTGCGTAAGATCTGCCAGTGATAGGAGCTGGTCCCTGATATTGCTTCTGCTTACACATCACTTCAGTTAATAATTCTTCCTAAATGATATATGTAAAGTAGGTATGTATTTAAAACCCAGGAGACAATAAGGACCATCTGAATTGGTCATACAAATCTGTGGAGTAGCTATTCTCATCACTTCCGTGTGAAGAAAATAAGGTTTGAAAAATCCACTTTTTACTCCATCTCAGATTTGGTATAGCTGCCCAATATGCAATTTCTTGGAGAAGAATGTTGATGCATAGTGATATTTTAAAGATCTTGGTATATTCCTGGGATTAATTTCATTCATCCAAGCGTAAGCATTGAATAGTTGTTCTAGATGCATCTGTAGTCAGTAGACAGGCATCTCTCAAGAGAGACTCCTCCCATCCCATCCAAAGCTATGTCTCCAAAATTATTTGTGCAAATAGCTCTGGCCATTGACTATGTCTCTGTAGGGAGCCTGAACAATTCATTCGGGTGGGTTGTCAGCTGCAGATGGTGAAAGCCATGAAATCAGATATGACGGAATTCCAAAGTCTTTGCAGAATGTGAGCATTATGCCTGATGATCAATCTATTCAGCAGCATTCTCCTTATTTAAAGAATTATTTCATGTTATTATTTTTCCACTCTGTGGGTAACCACTTTAACAAAAATTGTGAAGAGAGTTCACCACAGCTTTAGATACTGCTCAGCAGGTTATTCACTTCTGTTGTCTTACATGTGTTGTTTTTCTCTTCTTTAGTCCTCTGGTACCAGTATCACAGTGGATATCGCTGTCATGGGAGAAGCACATGGGCTCATCACAGACCTTTTGGCCGATCCTTCACTGCCCCCCAACGTGTGCACATCGCTGAGAACAGTGAGCAACCTGCTTAATACGCAGTTAACCTTCCAGGCCATCCACAAGCCAAGGGTGAATCCTTTGGTGTCCTTCAGTGAGAACTACACCTGCTCTGACTCAGAGGAATGTCCGGAGAAAGGAGAGAAACTGGCCATTCCCAAGGTGAGTACTGGAGCCTGTCTATCATCTTGTAACTTGGCTCTCCCTAAAGGTACATCAGGAGGCATCACTGGGATTTTTGCTTGTTTGCTTCAGATTAACATCCTGTGCACCAGCGACACTCCATTGTAAAGGACAGCTAATCCTGTTGGTTTCATAGTAACACAATTCCTGTGTATCCCTCAACTCATGGCCAGGTTTACTTTGATTCAGGCATGTTTAGAAGATGGTGTTTGACACACAATAGATCACACAGATGGTGTGCATATTTTCTTGCAGCTGTTGGTTGGAGCTTGAGAGAAGAAATGACAGGGAGAAGAGCAAGCAGAAGCCTTTTATCGTTCAGATTCACAGGTCTGCCCCATCACTTCTTACACAGAAATTCACCTCCCACTCAAAAGATTTGAGCCACCGCATGTGAGGTGACTATCCTAGACAATGAGCACTGGGGAAATAAGCAGTAATATGAGGGACCTTTTTGTTCACTTTAAAGGTTGGAATTTGAGATTCTGGATGAATTTCAGTCTCTTCTTCCTTCACGTAGCCAGAAGTTGACAACCTATAGTAGGCAATGAGAAACTCCCTATTGATGACCTCCAGGTCTTTGGATCAAGTTTAAAATGCTGCATATCAAGCAAACAAACAAAAAGATTATCACAGTCATTAGTATGACAACTACTGTGAGCTCGTGAGAAGTGGTCTTGAGAAGAAAAAGAAGACTGCACCAAAAAAATCTATCTATTACTGCTTTAACAGATGGCTTTATAAATGCTCAGGAATCTGACAAGAAATAACCAGTGTTAGCTACTCACATTTAGTAAGTGAACAGCTACAGAGAACACATCAGCTTTGAAGTAGTTTGAGTTGTAGGTTTGTGGCTAATTAGCTGTCCTGCAAGGCTTACATTTCACTTTTGAAACAAAACCAAAATGCTTTTGTACTGCAGTCTCCCTTCTAAAATTAAATATAGGCAAAGTACATTGCACAGACAAGTACTTTTATGTTTTACAGTTTAAATGGCACAGCCAGCATTCATTCCAGCATTTCCAGGCATCCAAATTGCAACACTTGTGATTCTTGTTTTTATTATATTTTGGTGTGATGATAATTATTACCCTATTTGCCTATGTAGCAGCTGTATGTATGAAATGGATGTTCATGGGTTTTTAAGCACATTTCCCAATTTATTTTAGTGAACATGTCTCTCATGGCTGTACTCTGGGCTCTGAGGGGAAAAGTTAAGTGGAAGAACACTGCCATCACATGAGCAAACACAGGGAGCAGATACCACTTTGCTGTTGCATAATACCTAGTGAGGAGAAGCGAAATGAAGGATGAAGAAATGAGTTAATGCTACAGAGATCTAATTTGACAGGAGTTCACTGACCTTTAAATGTATTATGGTTCATAAAACTAATAATTTGCAGTCCTTTATTTACTTGTATAAATACAGATTTAGGCTCTTTACCTTAAGCATCTGACACTATTTTGGGTAAGGAGATGGTATGTTAACATATTTTTCCTCAAGTTTGAGCTTCAGAACCACAGGTGTCTTCCGTCTCATATTTCTTAACCCTCTGGCAAAGTCCAAGATCTCCATTGCAGAGATATATTTATTTTAGTTCTTAACTATAAACATTTCATGAGAACTACAAGAGAAACATCTTACAAAATTATAGCATCTCTAACAGCAAATCTGGATCCAAAAAGACTCTTTATCATCGTCCCTTATTATATCTGTCTTCAAAAATTAAAAAAAAAACCTATGTGAGTCCTGTTAGTGGAGGAAAAGAAGATTTAGGTGAAAGAAAAATGCAGGGTGGTCAAGAAAAATCTGCTGTAAATAGTGATGCTTTTTCTAAGCTTATCAAGAGACATCATATCCCAGAGAATGAGTTTTATTTCAGTGGGTGACCTTTGGATTGATAGATATAGCAAGGAAAAAATTGGAGCTCCTGCCCCCTTCATACAGCCTTTCTTGCCTTGAATTTCTGATTCTGAGAATTCATGACAGTTTAAATCATAGAATAATTAAGGTTGAAAGTGCACCTGAAGATTGTCTAGTCCAGTCCCTCATGCAGAAGGTTTTTCTAGGCTCAACCTAGATCAGATTGCTCAGGAGGATGTCCAGTTGGGTTTTGAGTATCTCCATGACTTTAAACTTCACAGCCTCTTTGGACAACCTCCTTCAATATTCCGTCATCCTCACAGTAAAAACTATTTTCCTACCTTTAAATGAAATTTCTTGTATTTCAATTTTTGCCGTATTGCCTCTTGTCCTTTCACTGGGCACCACTGAAAAAAGCCTGACTCCATCTTCTTTACACCCTCCCTTCAGGTATCTGTATACATTAGTAAGATCTACTCTGGGCCATCTCTTCTTCCAGCTGAGGAATTCCAGCTCTCTCAGCCTTTCATTGTATCAGAGATGCTCCAATCCACCTTTGTGGCCCTGTTAATTTGTTTAAGTGCCTTTGGCCACATCAGGTGTTGAACCTCTGTGGCTATGGGGCTGTGGGTATAGACCTTTTACAAAACTTGAAACAGGGAGGATGATCCAGACCCTCCAAGCACTGGAAGCATTGATTCGAGTAGAATGAAGGCACCACAGTACCTGGGAGAATCCAGATTTAAGGTACCTCACTAGTTGTTGTCAGGTAGAATTGATCAAGTGGAAATGGGTTTTCTTCTGCATGTTTGAAGAGTTTGTAAGCTGGTATAAACTCTAAGCAACTGATTTCTCCTCAGCGCTTACGGAGAAGTTTGCCTCCAGGACTGCTGAGACGAGTGTCCTCAACTTGGACCACAACAACATCAGCCACAGGATTACCTACACTGGAGCCAGCTCCGGTGAGAAGGGATCGCAGTGCCAGCATCAAACCCCATGAGTCATCTTCATCCAGGTTACAAATTACCTCCTCTCTCTTTTATGTTTCTCTTTGGGTAGATTTCTTTGGTTCTGTGTGATGATGTCCCTCATTCAAAAATGCTGGCTGTGAGGTTTGTTAAAACTACTTCTTCATGTTTCTTTAAGTTGGGTTGCCAAAGGAGCAACATTCCCAAGTTTAGTCAGATTGTGCCAAAATTATTCGTATTATTGGGAAGTAAAATAAAATTTGAAAAATCTATTTATGCTAACAAAGTGCAGAAATGCACAGTAAAATTGGAAGAAAAGCAAAATATCTGGTTGAATTCTTCTTGATAAGCAGCAGTTCTCTGCATGGGTATTGCCCAGCCAAGAAAAAATTCTAAAAAGTAACCCAACCATTTCTAAGAACACACCTAGTGTTGATGTGGTTCTGTCATTAAACCAGTTCATAAAGCACTTCTCCATCCTTCATTCTTCTCAGGGCCTGATCCCAGAGCCAGTATCATAAAATACATGGTCCTCCCATGAAATGGAGAAGGAGAAGTTGTGTCTGCTCGGCTGCTTACAGCAAGCAGATGACTTATTTAGGGAATTTGCAGAGGTCTGAGGGATTTCAGACCTATGTACCTCCCATTTTGGGATTTCCATGCTGCCATAAAGCCTGAGTTGAGCTGTTTTTAACCCTCCACAGGGTCTGTGGCAGACAATCCAGTTGCAGCCAGTGAAGGAAGAAGTTGCACAGCCTTGTGCAAAGAGCTCTTGTCTGTGACAAGAAGGGCTTGGCTCCCAGGCAGTGTTAACTGGGATCGTGTTGTGTAGCTATTTCAACAGCATTTCCTCCTTTCTGGCTCCATATTGTTCTGTTCTAGTCAGAAAGGGGCAGAGCCTTCAAAAGTAGGGTGGAGGGCAGTCAATTGTGGTGCCACCCAGAGAGAATAAAGTTCAGGTCCCGTCCCCAACCTGAGCAAGGGTTATCATCTTGGAGCTGGAGGAGAGAACGTGGAGACATACTTTGCTCTGGGGAAGAGAAAGATCAGAACCAAAGCACCAAATTCAAGAAGAGAATTTAGAGTCATGTTATCAGAAGACTCACATGCTTTTCTGAAATTCAAAATTCGATGCTGGTAGCAGAGAAAAATACAGGACCTGAGAGGGCCTGTGCTGGCTATTAAATAACTTGTGTGAACACAGCCCCAGAGAGCTGCATTCTTCCCAGGTCAGCCTTTCCTCCAGATACGTAAACCTTTCCCACAGAGGAGACCCTCATGCAGGGCATCGAGGTGCTCAAGGCAGCCTGCAAAGTACACTGCAAGAAAAATATGTGGTTGGCCAAAATTCCCTTTGTGAGGAGTCCCAGCTATCTCAGTAAAAGCTAGAACCAAATGGAAACGCTCTTCACTCACCGACCTGTGGTTCCCAGGGTGTATTTGATTTATGCTGTTGATCCCAGTCTCACGTAGTATGTAAGCATCCCAAGATGGGAATCAGAGGGAGAAGGAGAGCAATTAAATATTATTGTTGGTCCTTTCCTACGGTTCTTACATAACTCTGCATGATGAGCCAACTAAGCAGGCTATCAATTCTTCCTATGTTTAATGTTGCCAATTGTGTAATTATAGCTCTGTCAAGCCTCCCAGCCTACTGTTTGTAGTACTTCTCTTACAGTAGGAGAAACAATGTGTATTCCAGAAAGGCAAAAAATGGATCCTATAAGTCTAGCTTTAAAAGTTTTGGCAGACCAAGAGAGATTTTCTTTCAAGGAGAAGAATTTTGAACTGAAGAGAGAAAAAGTCTTGATTATCTGCCACTTCCCCTGTACCAAACCAAATTCAAGCACTCCACAGGTCACAGAGAAAGAAATGTTTCATGGGTTGAGGAGTAGGAGAGAGGCTGACACTGGGATTTCCCTGTGGCAGATGCCACAGTTACAAAATCTGCAACTTGTTCCTCAGAGCCTGGGACATCATCTCTAGATTTCTGCAGTCACAAATTTGTAAAAATCCCCCTTAAATTTCTGTTTGAGATCAGTAATATTGTATTCTTCAAACCCTATGTCAATAAACTGGTAAGACATGGTCCTCTTATGGCTTCTAATGGTACAGGAAAAATAATAGAACTTCCACATTCTCTCCCTCAGCCACTTCTATATCCAGTGGTTCTCCCTTAAGAAGTCAAAGAATGTGGTTTGGAGATTTTTGGTTTGTTTTGTTGGGGTTTTTTTGAACTTTACAGTGGCCAGTGTGGGATATACTTCATGTCAATTGAAAAACAAAATAAAACCATAAAAAAAAATTAAAGAAAAGAAAATTTTTAAAGAACCATCTGGATTCCTTCTTTGTCTCATCACAGATTATAGAAATTTGGGCCCATGGAGACAGTCAGCAAATATTTTTGTAGGTAGTACTTCTCTTCCAAAACAATATGTTTGCAGAGGTGTAACACAGTGTTACGAGATCTTTTCTTTCAGTGCTTTTTTTTTTTTTCCTTTCCTTTTTTTTTCAAGTTCAGCCAGAGCTAGGCTACTTTAAAAATCTGTTTTCTGGCTTAAGTGTCACCTCAACACTTGCATGTGAGGCTGTGAGGGGGAACGTGGAGCCTGAGATGCCTGGTGGATCTGTCCAGAGGGCTCACTGCCTTGCCTGATAAGAGCCAGTGCTGCATCCCTGCAAGCAGCTGAAACTCGATGAGTGGCATTTGGGAAAACAATCATAAATACAGTTTTCTTGCTGTACAGAAGGATTTGGCCTCTTCTGGTAAAGAGTTCTAGGCTGAAGGCTGAAAGCGTGGGCCCATGCTGTTGTAGGGGAGAAGCCTTTGTTCCACATGCCCCCTATTTTCCCTCAGTATGTTTGTCTTGGACCAATATCTTCAGGGTCTGTCAGTAGGACTTTTTGGGGGGATGCAGCATGCATTTCAGCTGGCTAGAGTGTGAAGGGGCACACCAGGAGCCATGGCCATGCAGAGTGCTTCTGGACACCCCTGGTCTCTTGAGGAGCTCCTCCACTGCCCTAAGGGTTGGTGGGTATCTGCTGTGACACCAGCAGCGGAGGAGACTGGGTTTTAGTTACACTGAGAACTTGTTTCATTTCTGGCTCTTTTAGGGAGGTGTTAAAAGAGAATATAAATTTAACTTATTTCAAGTCAACTCTTGAGCCTCTGTGTACTGTCAGAACAATATAATGAAGGCATCTGTATAAATAAAGTGAATAGGCCTCAGCAGCAAAGGAAGCCCAGTGTCTGCATTGTAAATATTTTTGCTGAACACAGTACTGAGTGCCTCACAAACTGCAGTTCAGCCAACCCATAGATGTTGTTCTCCTTGTCAGATTTTGTGCTATCCCAGTATCACATATTTCTTGCTGCAGCTCCTAAGCTCTGCCATTGAGGCTTCTTCCTGTGTCGAATGGTGCTTGTTTGTGCTCTGGTTTTGCAGCCCTGACTCCTGGAACAGCTCAATTCTGATGACAATCACAAAGAGCAGGTCCTTCTCCACCTCCTATGCCGTGTCTTCTACCAACCACCTGAATGCCAAAAGGCAGAGCCGGCAAGGTGAGTGGGCATCCATGGCTCTGTCACGCTCATGTAGCTGCTCCCCATGACTAGCAAGTGCAGCTGCTTTTGTTCTCTGTCCAATGTGCTTCTTTTCTTATTTTTCCATCAATATGATGTAGTTATTTCCTGGATTTAAGAAAAAACAACGCAGTGTCTTAAAATGCTATAGCTCATAGTGATGCCATTGTAAATGTTTTGACTTTTGGATTTATAGAGGTTAGTCACGACATGATGCAGCAAGTGTGATATGACATTGTGTTGTGATTTATATCTATGTAATTCCCTTGACTACAGCAGGGCTGAGAACAGAGTGTTTTCTATAACACTGATGACATTAACTGTCTGTGCATATTGTCTGACTGAGATTTCCTGAAGCACAACATGCACAATGCCATTTTCAGCTGTAAGCGGCAACTGGCCCATCTTATGCAAACATATCCAAGACAAAGCCTTTGTAACTCTATCTCTGTATATTTTTTTATGAGAGAGTACAGGTAGTTCTTATCAATATTTAGAGATGAGAAATGTGGGACTTTTCACTCTGTTTTTGAGATTCTAAAAAAAACCCCATTAGTCCTGTTTAACTAGGGAAAGAAACTGAGAAGGTGACTTCGGAATTGATAATGAAATGTTTGATATGACATCCATGAAGCAGCCTTAATCCACAGTAATGCGGTTCTCCTCCCTGTAAAAATGCAGGATCATATAATGTCTACTCATGCGTTAATTTGCAATTCAAAATTATCACAAGGCCTCCATTTTTTATATCAGCCTGGGTTTTTTGAAAACATGGAGTAATGTTGAGATAATGTTACTCAGAGATACTGGCCACCCAGCTATCAGGTGGAAATTGATATATGCCTGAGGCCTGACATTGAAAAAGCCAGAGAATCCCAACTTAGAGATGGGTTTGAAGGTATGGCTGCACAATTATTTTGCGTATCTAGCACTGTCACATCTCATCTCCTTTTCAAACTGAAGAAAACTGTACAACATCTCCTCTTGTACAAGAAGCTGCTTTGTGTTATCACAGGGAAGACTAAGTAACATAGTATTATCTTAAAAGGTAATAGGCACATAGGCAACTGACTAAAATTAAACCTGGAAAATAATGGAGATACAGCACCAAGAATCCAGGAATTTGTTTTAAAACACAACAAATATTACACTTAGACTTGTAATTTTCAGAGATTACCAGGTGAATTCAAAGGGAAAGGGGTGGGGTGTATAATATTCTGTTTTTGGAAAACAACACTTACCAACCCCATCAATCAGTTTTCTGCTTTCAGAAAGTGTTAATAGTCATCTCCATTGCCCAGGTATGTGAGCTCCCACATGATGAAGGGGCATCTCCATTCCATCACAAGCAATTCCTAGGGGTATTGATGGAGAGGAGTAAAAGTTTTGTGTCAGCATTTTATGTAGAAGATTGATATTTCAATGTTTTAGGCTGTTTATAATCATGCATTTTTAGTTATGATTTGTTTTCATGTTCCAACTAAATAATTCTTTCAATTTGCAATAGTTAATTGCAAATAGACTTTTATATATTAGCTCCATTTGCAAGATACAATAATTATTAGTAGAAGTTGATCTAGCTAAATCTGTATATCTGTTAATTTATAAAATGTGTCTTTAATTATGCATGAAGACAGCTGCTAGTTATATCTATTTCACAAAAAAAAAAAATCAAGTATTTTTGTATGTCATTTCACATCACATTGAAGTCACTGTTTTATATCTTCAACACTGCACATATGAATAAGTTCTGGAGTACCTAAGCAGATGGATGCACTTAAAAAATTCTCTTTGTATTTTTATTCTTCTCTTATCTTGACTGTTCAAAATTCCTTGCTGTAGCAAGACACGTTTACTCTCACGTTTGCCAATAATGGTTAAATGTTAGATTATTGAAAATAGGTTTGCATTTTTCTTGTAAATTTATTTATTTATGGTCACCTACTCTGGAAAATTACTCTTTAAACAACAACAACAAAAAGAAAACCAAAAACACACACAACAAAAAATATATCAGGAGACAGGAGCCCAGACTAGCAGTAGAAAGGCAGCTGTGATTAGAAACATTATTGTGAGAAATGCTGTTTAAATTCCCAGGACTTGTTTTAACTGTTGAAAGATGACCATATGTATTGTATCTTCTGAATTGTATCCTCTAAGAGCCATGAATATTACCTGGTAACATGTAGCTCAAAAATAGATAATAATCCAGCTCAATCTCCTGCACATCTAACAGACTGCAAAATGTGTTTAAAGACGTATTTTTGTTGGATGGAAGTCCGATATCTCAATGAATTCATAAATGAGAAACAGAGGTTTTCCGTATTTTAAAGCAATTTCCCTGTGTCGTGGCCATCTGATAACATTTTAATTGCTCTGAAGGCTTTGGTTTTCTGATCTCAAGACAAACATAATATCCTACTTTCAGTCACTGAATTAAGACAGTAATACATGCCACATGTTTGCTGAAGAAATACCCTAATCAAAACTGAGGAGATGTTGGATATCTCCAAATTACAGCTCCATAACTGTCAGAACTTCTTTTTTTTAACTCTTGGATTGTCAAAAATAAATCATATTTTAGCCTCATATCACAGAAATTTTCTATCAGGAAAAAACACTGGAACTGTATACACATATCCTGCAAGGTTAGCATTTCATAACCTTAGAATAAGCCAACATATTGCCTTATTCTAAGATAATTTTTGTGTCTGGAATACATTTAGATAGTGGGCACAATTCAAACATAAAACCAGTTCAAGTTCCTAAGGTCTTTCTATCATTTGGCTTTGAAGATGAATGTGGTAAATTAACTGGGGCTGAGTTCCTACAAACTTTAGAACAGGAGGTAACTCAATTTATGTGCATTTCCTTTCAAGATAGATTAAGTTTGCCCGGGCACTCTACACTTTGGCTGGAACTTTGAGACTAGAAAAATGTAAAATGGATTCAAAAAGAAGGCAGCACTTTGTTTCAAGCTCTGGACCAGCTGATGCATTTCATCTTGGCAGTGTTGCTCAGACAGAATAAGGGAGAGAGAGAACTACATCTCACTAGTGCTCTCACATGTGGATATTGGCAGTTCATGATACACTAGCTCAGGAGCACAATACCATGTGGTACAGGTAATGGTTGTGAGTTCCCTTAGTGAGCAACAGATATTGAAAACTAAACTCAAGCTGCACAAGATCCAGGCCCAAATCAGTGAGGAGTGCAGAAATGGCACCAGAAGTGCAGTATTTTATGTAATGGATGGCCATTAAAATTGGGTTTTTTGTTTATTCTTAGTCTTCAAACATGTAAAAATCTGAATTTTCTGGGAATGTGTGTAAGCTGTTCTTGTCCCAGCTTTACAGATGGAGACAGCGAAACAAAGATGGATCTGGCATCTGCAGATGGGGCTGGGAACTGGCTTTTTGGAGTTTGGTGTCTCTGTCAGTAGAACATGTTGATACCAGTAGAACATGTTGATACCAGTAGTCACACCACTAACATATGCCTTTCATTTCATGCCTGTCAGTTAGTGCATCCTGCTCAAGGGAAAATATGCTTTGTATTTTGAGCCAGATCTTCAGCAGGTAGAAGTGGCTGATACTAATGGAATTTCATCTGCCTGCGACAGCCCTGGACTTGGCTCAGGGTGGAGCAGGGTGTTCTCTTATTTTTCTGTTTGGGAGCTATGATGGTACTTGTGCATCTCAAGAGGAGTGAACTGCACAGTGAACTAATGCAACCATTTGCCACTTCTGTTAATTGACAAGACTCTTCTCTTGCCAGGTATCCCACCAAATATTTCACCTCTCACCTCCCCATGCCATTCACCAATTCAGGGGACCCCTGCCACAAGTCCTACTGGAAAAACATCTTCTGTATCATTTCCAGACTCTACAGATACTGGACACCAAGCAGGGTTTAAAGCCACACAAAGTCTTAACTTCTTCTCAGAGTGCACCTCCCTGTCAGATCCTGTTATCAGCCCCTCTGTCATCTGCAGCAGGTAAGATTGTAATTTGACGTGAGTAGGGTTAATTTCACATTGTTCTCAGGAACATGCTCTTTCAGCCCACATACAAGATTTTGTGATTTACTGCAGTATTGTGTACTGACATTTCAAGTTTGTAGTATTTGACTTATTGTGTAGATCAATGCTACAAAATACTTTTAAAGTGGAAGAGTGTTAGCTACATTTATTGCTTTTACTGTTGTCAGATGGACAGTCTGATTCATAAATAAATTCTTTGCCAATGATTTGCAGATCCCAAAGTTGGATTTCATGGTAACAACCTGTGTTTTTTACGCTATACCCCCTAGTAGGAATAGTCAGCTTCAGGTCACAGGTCAAGTCTTCCACAGCAGGCACCTGATGTTTGATAGAAAAATCTGACTGCGAGGGTTTAAAAGATTCTGGCCTGTAGGCTTCTGGTAAAGATGTGCCAACAATTCCTGAAGGCTACATGATTTTGAGCATTCTCTCAAGAGGAGTGGATCCTTTGTTCCCTAGGCAGAGTCAGATTACATGAAGTCAGGATTTTTTTTCAGAAATCAACTGCAGATAAATTCTTTCAAGTACTCAGAGTTAGAGAAACACAGTTTAATTTTGCACTTTAAAGTAGCCCTGTATTAGATAACACAGGCTGATCCTGCTTTGCAAAATCAGCATTTTGGAAAGAAAGTTGTTCTGCTTATCTTCTCAGAAAGGATTCAGTTGCTAAATTGTATTAGTGGAGTTTGCAATATGTGTCCAGTCCAGAACAGTGGAAAACATGGGTATTTCTAAACCTGTTCCAGTGCAGTTTCAGGGTTACCTTACTCACTAGATGTCACTTTCTGACATAGCAGTGATTTGTGATTAATGGCCAGCTAGTGGACAGCATGTCATCTGAGGCTGGGTTAAATGGTATCAAGTTTGACTATCTTTGGAAATGATTTTTCCTTTCTGGCTTCAGTCACGTGGCTGTGGCTGTGTCTCAGGACACTGTGTGCAGGGCAAGGAAGGGGGTGTGAGAAAGTCAAACTGAGACTGCAAGTTTGCTCAAGGGAATCATCCTCACTGGAGTTCAGACTAGGATCCCAACAGGCTTTTAAGTTGGATTTAAGTGACTAAATAGAAATTTAATGCTTTTAAAAGTTTTCCAAAGTCATAGCAAAACTGGGACTTGGGCTGAATAATTTGAAATGAAAATTGTATTACATAACAGAACTATAACCTAAAGGTGCTACTGTCTTATTAAGCTGTGCCTTTATTACTACTTCAACAAAATATTATTACTTTCACAAGTAACAATTATGTCTGGAAGCCTTCTATTAAAGAGAATGGTTAACAATTGCATTAAAAATGTCAAAAAAAATCAATGTAAGGTTGTTGTAGATGAAATATATTTTCTACATATGTGGAAACTTTGATTTCATTGTAATCACTGGTAAAATGCACATTAACTTTAATGTGGGTGCTGTTGTATTGGATCTATGTAGGTTATACAGCATAATTGAGGGTTCAGTTTGCTTGTTTTCAAAAGCTTAGACTGTATAAGCACTGCAAATAGTTACATTGCTGACCCAGACTTCGTTGTTGATTATTTGAAAAAAACCACACTTATTATTTAAAATATTATGGTATAATTGGCTAATAGAATTGGCATCCACTGGTCCTAAGAGTCACTCTTCCTTTAAGTCCCTGTTGAAAAATTACAAGCACTGTCAAAATCAAAACAAAAAATCTCAAATACAAAGAAATTAAACGGTTAACAAGTTGTGAGAATTAAATTAACACACTGGAAGTAAATTTTTAATGTCTGAGCTCTCGCAGAGTAGATTGCTCCTCTTCATGGTGTACAACCTGCTATGTTTACTGCCAAAACACCTGCCTTGCAGGGGAGTAATGCCAAGTCAGCAAACCTCTGCCACCAGCAAACCAATCCCACCCCCTACAACAGAAGAGGAAATGAAATCTTGATGGGTTCAGTGTTTTAAGTCAGATCCACCCAGGCAGTGGCATCAAGATGCCAGTTTTACTGCACTTCTTTTTTGCTAACAAGGTGAAATGTGGTAGGACAGCACAGTTTGAAAACCACAGTAAAGAAGAACATACACCAGGCAATGCCAGTAAAATAACTTGTAAGTAATCGTGTATTAATTCTGCTTAGTGCATGAGGCAGGAATCCTGTGCAAAAAATATTAAACAATCCTGAAGTTAAGGAGGGTATTATAATGCCTGTGCATGAAGGGATTGAGATAAAGTTGCATGGGCACGTTTACTTCCAACACAAGAGTAGATTTCAAGTGTGCTGCTGGCTAGCTCAGTAATTTTTTTTATTTCAATAGAGTGCTTTGTGGACCATACATATTAAATCAGTGTGAGTTTGCATATGTTCAGGAAATAAAGAGGTGCACTCAGAGTGATGCAAAAAACATTGTGGCATTACACCCAATCAAAGGCTCTCTATCACTGATCTTATGGAAATCGCAAGGAATGCGGGACAGAGAAATTAATACTTTCTTTTCATCTTGTTTAGCAACCTGAGTGATACATGATTTATTTGCTTGGCTATGCACTACAGGTATCATTGAATACAGATTTGCATTTTTATTTAAAAGTCTTTCAGGGGTTCATTGTGTTTGCAGGGCGTATCAAGCTCCAGGATATGTTCTGGATGACCCAGTCAAAACCCCTCTGGCAGAGGGTTTCAGCCATTTTTACACATTGAACTTACAATGGTACAAAGTTTCTAGTACAAAGTTTGACCAAGGAAAATAATTTTATAACAGTTGCTTTTCAAAGGCTGTTACATATGAGATATGCCACAAAATACTGACTCAAACCAGAGAAAGACATGTAAAGTGTCAGTTTTTTGGGGACAGATTTGATATAATACTGCTAAATGAGGCTTCAGATTTGTTATGTTCTATCATGTTTTCATGATATACCATTGTTTCTTCAGGTCCTAGACTGAATCATATTGGGACATTATAATTTGAAACATTCCAGCTGGTATTGAATTCACAATTAGGGCTTAAAGGGAATCACACACGAGGAATAAAGCTTTTTACTGGAAGAGAAGAGCCAGACATTTGAAAGGGCCATGATATTGTGGTCCCTTCCAGAAAGTATTTCTGTTCTGGGTATGGTGAAGCAAACTCTGTCTAGTAATTTCATTGGTAAATGTCTGGATGCCAGATCACTCACCTCATGTTCTGTCCAAAATGCCCTCTTTGTTCTTATGTACTTGGTATGTTGTCACTTTTATAGGGCAGCTGTAGTACAGAACCAGGGGATATTTTTTAATTTTCTGGGTTTACTGATAAATTTAGAGAGTAAGAAATTCATTTAAAAAGAAAATCACATATTACAGGTTTACTCTTGGCAACACAAATTTAATGGTGACGGCCAGTTAATCCAAGGTCTTTTTGTATTTTTCTCCTTTTATTTTCCTGAGTTCCAATAAAATTTCAGGTCTCTCTTGTAATTTTGTCTGGAGAATGCACCCTGGACCGTGGCTCATATTGTATGACATAATCTTGCACTGTCAGCAGGAAATCATTTTACATAATACTGTCTGATTGTGCAAATTTCTTGATGTATTTCAGCTGTGGCAGACCCTATAACCAAATAGAAGCTGGTGATGGGACATTAAATAGAAATGATGCTACCACACACACCCTGAACAGAACAGGTAATTCTTTGTCTGTCAAAAGCACCTTGTTCCTTCGAATGCAGTAATGAAAGGACAGACATGCTTGTCTGTCATAAAGGGAGAACATATGTAGGTGATACCATACAAACTGTCTTTGAGGCTTCTTGCCTTTTTGTATGTATAACATGTACAGAATGCTAACAAGAAATAGAGCTAAAAGAAAAAAGAGATATGGTTTCCCTGATTTGACTTAATCAACATAAACAATAATCCTCAAAATCTTTTTACTCTTCAGTTCCTGGTCCCATTTTTTTACACTCTGCAGGGTATATGCCTTAATGCCTTGGGGACAGATTGTCCAGCTTCAGACCCAGCCGAGCAGCACATATGTATTATGAGTCAGAGATCCTGTTGCTGTGATCCGGAAGGTCACGGGGTGCCTTTCGTGGCATCGTTGCTGTTCACACACCGAGCTCTGTGGTTTGCGTTGCAGATGATCCCGCGCAAGCCACTTCTGACTACGAGACCAACAACAGCGACAGCAGCGACATCGTGCAGAACGACGACGAGACAGATTGCTCCAAGGAGCAGACACGGAAGGGATCTGTCTGTAGGTCCTACACGCCCGAGACCATCATCCTGCATCCCTTGATACCACCTGAGGTAGCTTGTCTAAGTCCCACTCGCACAATGGACCGAGTGTATGCTGATACGGAGTGGGAAAAAGGCCAAACCAGGGCTGTCTAAAGGTTGTGATCATGGTTTAAAGCAACAATTGCAGCAGGAGGATTAACTTTCAGGAATTGAAAGGAACCATTGAAATGTCAGGGCTGCTAAGCACTGGCCACTTATGAAACGCTAACCATCTATTTTGGTGGATAAAAGTTTATGGATCTAGCATTAGGCATTTCTGAAATGTTTGGCCTCTGTGTTAGCTTCCTTTAAAGGGAATGGATTGGAAGGAAGGGAAATGATCTTCTCAGACTGGCAGCATGACATATAGTGTTCCTGTTCAGCCACTTCAGCTTCTCAATGGGCTTGCAATCTTCACTAATATATACTGTGGTCCTTATTTTAAAATAAATGAACACTGGTCTGAGGGTGCTGCAAGATTTTATTATTGGTACATGTCTTAAACATAAGAACATTGCAGTATGGTGAACAAGTGCTGATACAGCTGCTGTGTTCAGCTGTAAGCTTGGTTGAGATGCAAAAGAAAGGCTTTGTTTAGTTACATTTTTCACAGTTTGTTGTACAACTGAATTAATAAATTCAAGCTAGGCATGAGCTCTTTGAAAAATTTACTGTAATCTGTTGGAGTTGGACATGCTGAGAGAAGGCATTTTGCTTGAAACATTTTGTCATTTACTCATCTGTAATTTCCTAGTAAAATGTAATTCTAGGAAGTATGCAGGGAGAAATGTGAAAGGAGGGGCACAATCCATCTTTTATTTGCAGACCTTGGAAAACAGGTAGGTTTCAGTTTAAGGAGCAAAAGTCTTCACTTGGACTGAGCTTCGTTAGCCTTGTTGGATTGTAATGAATGAGTCCTGGTGGAGAAGTAGAAACTGAGAGCTTTTCCCTCTGCACTGCAGCAAATTTTATAATGAAGACAGATTCCCTTGGAAATGAATGAATGATTCCCCTGAGTGAATGAATGAATGTGTCTCAATGGATAAGTTCAGACACTGATGTTTCATATACAGAATTTCCAATTCATTCAAGTGGAACACATTATAAAGGAGAGTGACTTGCTGCAGGGCTGGTAGAAATGAGGACATCTCCGCTGAGCTGAGTAAAGTGCCATCGACTTACAGATGATGCTAATGTGATAAGAGCATAACTTTTTGCATGAGACGCTTCACTGAACTAACACTCCTCTTTATTCTGATTTCTGACACAGGACAAGCCTGTACTTGCTCCTGAGCCTCTGGTTATGGACAACCTGGATCCCCTGATGGAGCAGCTAAATAGTTGGAACTTCCCAATCTTTGATTTGGTGGAAAAAATTGGAAAGAAATGTGGTCGGATTCTCAGTCAGGTGAGAGGTATATTTTGTCTGCAGTGTCTGGCTTAGAATATTGACAGTAGTGTTAAGACCCATTGCCCTTACAAGCTGGTCATCCAATGAATTGTGATCCCTGTCACCTAATTCAAAGCTGACAATATGAACTCCATCTCACTACATTCCTTACTCTTAAATGTCTATGTTTTTTAATTTAAAAATGTGAAAGGGTAAACCACACGCCTGTTTTGCCTGCTGCCCTCTGCCAATGAGTTTACAAAAACCTTTCTGAATATTCTATTCCATCTGCAGGAGGTGCTGCTGCCCCTTACTGAGTTCTGTGTGAAAGGATTTCTCATAGGGTACAGCATGGGAGGGCTAAACAGTAAATATATGCAAACTGGTGCAGGATATACAGAGCTTTAGAGAGCAGGGTTTGAGAAAGTGGGAGGAAAAATAGTCCTTGCTATATTAATTCATTTGTAAAGAGTCAGAACTTTGATAGAAAATTCATGTAATTATTACATAGGGAAGACTAATTTGCTATGACTCAGGATGGGAGAGCTTGCTGGTCTGTCTTTCAGCTCTCAGAACTATCAGGGTTTTATTCTTTTCTGGGAGTTGAATCCAGTTACTGACACAGCCTGTCTCTACCAGCAGGATTAGTGTCACTTCCATAATCACTTTCCTGGCTGAACTTTCTGCTCTGTTATGCCCCTTTTCCTGGCACACTGACAAATTAGCCATTTTTTCTCATGGAAGTATTGAAGATTATTAAACAGGAAAGGCAAATAATTTTTATTATTATTTAGGGATGGAAGGAAAACGAGCCCAAGAGAATCTGAGCGAACTAGTACCACTTTACAAGGCATTATGTAGTGATGAGTGCTGGAGAGAAGAGATAAAGTTAATTGGTACAATAAGGGACAATTAACACACCCCCACAAACACAGAGGTTAATGTGTCAGGCAGATCTCAGTGTAACTTGCTCCAGAGAATGCTGTATCAAATCACGGTCCCTCAGTGGTTACCTATTATTCAGCTCGATTCAATTATCCAGTGGTCAACAAGGAAAACCATGGCATGAATTCAAATATATTCAGCTGTCTGCCTTTTAGTGTTCTGGAGCTTGGCAAGGAACATCTGTGTTTGACCAGCCTGCCAAGTCTCTGGGTTAGTGTTAGAGAAATAGGCAAAGTGTGGCTGGATGTGGATATTGATATAAATTCAGTGATGGTTATTGAGACACTTTTGCACTGGACAGTGAGTGTGTGATTAAAATACTCTTCTGGATCATATCGGTCAGGGGTTTTTCTAATAGCAGAGAATAATAATAGAATGATAAATGAAACATAAGGCCAGGACTTTCTAGAACTTTCTTTTGGATCTTTCTTATCCAAAAGTTTCTGTGGTTTTGCATGGGTATCTCTATAGGTTTTAAGCACTTTATTAAGTTACATGGAGTTCTGTTCCTCTGGGGACAATTCCCCTGTGCCTCCCTCAATTTGCACTAAAGCTCCACACTCTCCCAAAATCTGCTTTTTGCACAGCTTCTGAGGATGTGCACAGCACTTCGCAGTGCCACAAAATGAGGCCTGTAAAATAAAATAGAGAAGCTGTAAGAAATAATATTTGTGATCAAAATTCAACATTTTCTGTAACAGCTGTTTATAATAACTCCCACTCCCTAACAGCAGAATGTAGCAAGTTCAGCCTTGTTCATAAAATAAAGATAGATCCTTTAGTTCTTTCCCCCACCTACTCAGATATTTCTTATAAAATTATTTTCAGAAATAAGGGAACAAAGAAAAATAAATCTTTTTCTCCAGCCAAAAGTACTTTCTTTCCTTGTGTATTTTTTAAATCCTGAGATATTTTAAACAAAGGAAAACAAAAGGTCTAATGATTTATTCTCTGTATTTTTCTGTAAAATGGACTCATCCATTTAAAAAAAAAAAGTAAATTAACAAGCTGAATTAACTATGTTTGTCTTGCTAGGTTAAATTTATGGGATGGAACAAAGCAGAGTTGACACGTGCCTCTAGGGATGCATTCAGTTTAGAAAGCAAATGCTGGCTTAGCATCTTTAAAACTGCTTGAGATGTCTGTTTCTCCTTTTTGGAATGTTAAATTGATTTAGACATATAAAAAGACCCTAAACCAGTCAGTGACCACAAAAGCATCTCTGCAAAGTACAGTGGCAAGCACTCTAAATGTGGCAGTAACAACTATGCATGATAGGGTTTAGAGAGGAATGTACATCCAGTCTCACTTCAGTCACACTTAACACTCTTCTCACAGCTCCTATAAAACTATAAAACCTGTGGCAAATAAACTGATTTGGCTTGGAGAGCAAATAACATGAAAAAAAGTGCAATCTAAAGTCAAGGTTTAGCTTTTATTACTGGGCCCACAGAGATGAGAAGTGGAGGTGCTGCTATGCTGGCAGTACAGGAGCAGTGGCAGGGGCAGGGTGGCATCATTGCAGGGTCTGGGTGGTGCCAAGAGGATTGTGTGCTCACCTCATTGTCACACATGGCTTCTGCTCAGAGAAACTGCAGATGTGAAGGAGCGGGGAAACCAATCCTTAGGGGATGGGATATTCCTGGGATCACCACAGCAGCCCTTGAGAGGAGCTGTGTTTGCCAGAGCCGGAGAGGGGTGCCAACCACTTCAAAGGAACACGTCTGAAGAAAGCAAATAAAGGAGTGCAAGAGCTTTGCCTGCAAACAATGAGAAGGGAATTGCAAATCTAAACTTTGCATGTGCTCCAGCGAGAGCCATCCCTGTGCTCCTGCAAAACCCAGGAGATGGGCTACATGTGAATAGCAACCCGTTTCCAAACCAGCTTCCATTACAAATCATGCAGAAGTGCTTGTCCTTCTTCAGGCAGCACTGCCAGAAATATCTGAGTTATAAATGATTCATTCAAGCATTAGCAGTCATGGCAGGGACAAGCAGCAAATGGAGGCTGGAGGGAAGGGGCAGTGTGGGGCACCCACTGCCAAGCACCTGGCACCCATTGGAGCTTCCCTGGGCTTGTCCCTGGAGCAGGGACCACACCTCGGCCCATGGGATCCTAACTCCCAGGGAGCTCATGAAAGAGGATGAGGGTTGGGAAGAACAGATTTAAAAAGACAGAAGCATTTTAAAATGTTTAATCCAGAGCAATGAATAAACAAAGTTTACACAGTTGTTTGGGGTTTTTTTTTAATGAAGGAAGTTAGGTAATTGACTTTGTGGAAGACATCAATGCCCTTTTTTCCTCCGTTTGACTTGCCCTTACCTCTGCCTTCTCTCCATTTTCTAAGAGAGAGACAGAAAAAAACCCAAGATGTCCAGATGAGTTTCTTGGCTGTGGAGGAGCTGTCATTCATAGCCATCACAGTCAACTTTGCTTCTTTTCAACTGTGAAATTGCCCACCTCTCAAAATCCAAGGGAAGGAAAAGCATGCTTTTATGACAAGCTTTATTTAAGATACCTGTCCAGTACTGCTAGTACAGACCAGTAAGGTTTGGTAATGCAGAATAGTATTTCTTTATGCTTCTTCTTTTTATACAGAAATATTTTGATGGAAACAAGAAGCTTACATTTCACTGATATAAAATTAGAATGTAAGATTCCTCATCTCTCTCTAGGTGAAATACTTAAGCCATGATTCCAGATAGATAAAAATTGTTCTTTGCACATTCTAATCCAAATTATATGTGAGGTCACTTCCTTCACTCTGCTGCAGTACAGGAGGCTCCCATTGGGTTTTCAGAGAGTAAAGTTTTGCCTTCTATAGGCCCTACCTTTTATTCTAAGACTCATGTCTTCCAGAGTATGGTAAATTGTGGTGGGAACAGAAGTAAGAGCTGGGGCTACCAGCAGAACCCCAGCTGTCAGATATTGGTCATTAGAGGGTCATCATAGATGGGATCAAACATCACACTCAACCTGTCTCTGCATCATCACTGCCTGTTGTAATGCTTTGCCAGAGTTAGTTCACATGCAGGTTTTTCTTGGTAGGGAATGACTGTGAGGAAAGGCACAGGAAGATCATTAATGCTGCAAATTCATATCCTTTTGCCTATTCTTACTGTAAAAATCCACAGTGGAGGGGCATTCGAAGTTTATGTTCATTAAACTTCAGGTGCAGCTCACAGGTCCCAATATATACACACAATATGCAGAAAGATTTGTGGATAGATGTTTGATTTACACTCAGGTGTAAAACACAAAAGGTAATTTGAACCATTTCTTATCATATAGCACTCATCAGTCCAGATGTGCTTCAAACTGCTTGGTTCTAGGCAATTCCTTACCAGACAGAGGGCATCAAAAGGACAGAACTTAGCTAACAGCAGTAAATAAATAAAGGAGCTGAAAAGCTTTAGGGTCCAATTTGTGAAAGAAGTGAAAAGGTCAGGCAGTGATTTTATTGTGCCCCATTGTTTTATATGTCAGGTTCAAACTTGTCTTCAAAAGTGCCCATTTTGCAGCAGCTGCTGTCTACATTTCTGAGCATTCGTCTTCATGAACACCTCCTCACTGATCCATCCCATTCTCCCTTCCAGTATATCCTCTCCTGGATGTTTGCAGTCATCTTTCCATGCAGGAACACTTGAGGCAGCTCTGCCTAAGCCACTTGCTGCCTCTGGAATCCCGTTTAAGTCATTTTTTTCCATCTCACTTTCAAAATGAGAGCAAAGGAAAGGAGATAATGCATAGAATCCAAATAGTTACCCCTTCTGTCAGTCCTTTACTTGTTTCCCCATTTTCTGGGAATTAACTCGAGGATGCTCCTTGGAGAAGTTTGTGGGGAAACTTCCAAACATCTTTATGCATGTAGGTTTCTGAGGTGCTTGCGAAATTTCAGGGAGGGCATATTCCTGAAAGGAAGAGAAGAAAATCTGGAAGGGTGTAAAGAAGGAATGAGGAGGAATGTTTGGTACTAATAGCGTTTCTGTCTGGCTATGTAGCCACATTCCTATGGAAATGCAAATAGCTGCAGCTATAGCTGGATCAGGTGAACTTCAGAAAATACTACTAGGAAAGCAGGGTTTCATGGGGTTATTTGACCTGAGGAGTTTTATATCTAATTTCTAGAGGTTTTCCCATCTATTTAGCAACATGGGGGGTTATTTTTTGACTTTTTTTTTTTCCAGGTATCATACAGGCTTTTTGAAGACATGGGACTATTTGAAACCTTTAAAATACCAGTGAGGGAATTTATGAATTACTTTCATGCCTTGGAATGCGGATACCGAGAGATACCTTGTAAGTAAAAATTCCCACCACATAATGATGCTTCCTTACATTTTTGAGGATTTTCCACACACTTTGGTATTGAAGCCTTCCTTCTCTCATTATAGCAGCTACTTTTTCTCTTCTGTGACATCACAACCAAATGGATGGTTCTCTAGTAAGAGTCTGTTGCTGAACTGCAGCCTCTCGTGGTTTGGGGTTTTTTTCATGCATTTCGTGTTTCATGTTGTTTCATAACAATTCATGGCAAATTCTGTCCAAGCCAGAAACCACATAAAGCTATCATAGGTAAAGAACTGTTTACTGATGATGCAAGTGTAGCACAGTGTCCCAGCTGGAGTTTCTTGAAACATTTATGCCTCAAGAGCAACTTGGACTTTTATACAGTAGCAGTGCAGTGCTACCACAGGAGATGAATTTTTTAAAGCAGACAAAGTATGCCAAGTACATGAGTGCATCCTGTTCTTCTGCAACTATATATTGATATTTTTTTCAGTGGGAACCATTTATTCTCTGAGAATCCTGCTTTCAGTGATCCCCAAATTATTTATTAATTAAAATCCAATATACCAAACTGCTTCAGCTGGAAAAGCCAGTTGTTTTCCAAGGGAAAAGAGAGAGTTTTTACTTCCGTTTTTAGCTGGCAGATAACCTCAGTGTTGAGGAACACAGGACATGCTGTTTTCTCTACCATCACAGAAAAATATATGAAACATCATTCTAAGAAGTCATATAGTCTCTCTGTCAAAATATGAAATACCAATTGGAACAGCTACGGTGGGAGGGATTTAAGGAAGGCTCCCTGAAATGCCTCCCAGGCAGGTGCTTTGGTCTCTCTTCTGGGAAAGCAAGTGAGTCCAATTTCAAATCTTTCCTTATATTTGAACCAGATCAAGGACTTGAAGCAGCAGATTATAGCCTGGGCATATTATAGGTAGAAGTCCCACTGTCTGTCTGTCCTACTGGAGCCATTCCTTTTTGTTTAAAATATTCAAGTTATTCATGGTCTCTGGAATTTTTGTGAATCTAGCCCTATATTTCCTTGTTTTCCTTAGCTGTGTTTTGTTCTTAGTAGAGAGGAATATTTTGGCTAGCACAAAATTAATTTACCTTCCAGTATTTCATGTCTGCGAAGAGGTAAAAAACCCAGAACAACTGTCACGCTCGTGATAAAAGTTTGTTTTGCCTCTGCTCGCTCGGCTGGCACGAGATGCCCACTAGATGGTGCTGATATCCTTCTGTCAGAAACATCCTTCCTGTTCAACAGCGGGCTCCTTTTCTTTGTGTCGCAGATCACAACCGAATCCATGCAACTGATGTTCTACACGCCGTGTGGTACCTGACAACTCAGCCCATCCCGGGACTCCCGACCGTGATCAATGACCATGGGTCAGCCAGCGATTCAGGTATGTCTGTATGTGCAAGGTGTCTGTGTTGTGTTCTTAAAGTTTCTGTCACAAAGTTTGCTGCGAGAAAGCCAAGAATTCAGGATTGCGTGCAGTACTTGTTATTGTATAGGCTTTTAAGTTCAGTAGCGCGATGGATGTTGAAGGTGTTCGAGTATGTTTGTGTAGCTTTGGAGACAATGGAATTGATCCTCCAAAACCTAACAAATTACATTTAATGATGTGGGAATGCAAGCCTTTGTGGTCACCTATAAGGCAGATCTTTGTCAACATGTGGGGTTTTTTTTCCTAGGAAAACTGTGTTTGTTAATAGTGCTTTTCAATGCTACTTCAGAAGGCTTTAAAATCCTTAACCCCTGCACTGTCTTGCTGTTACAAAATTTCTGGGGCACGCAGGTAGTGCCGTGCACTTGCTGCTGCTTGGCTGTAGAGAAGAGTTTTTGCCTTTCCTCACTGCCTCCAAAGACACTTGTTACCATTTGGCAACCAGCTTGCACGACCAATCTTCTGCTGGTTTATGAGTGCTTTATTATGGGAAGCTGTTCTTTTTGCATCTTTATGTTAACTTCTCCAGGTTCAGCTGTAGCACCTACAGGAACTGTCTGTGTTTTATGCGAGTTCTCAGGGAGTTATTATAAAAGCAGGAGTTTATTTCTGCAGAAACCACTTCCATTTCTGCTCTTTGTTGTTGTTGTTGTTTGTTTATTTCTTTGGTTTGGTTGGTTTTAGTGTTTGTATGGCACATACGTATAATTTGTGAAACTCTTCATGATGTTTCAATGGGAAACGTTTTTATTCCTGGAAAAATTTATTTGCAGGGGTTATTGAGGTCTTTGTAGGTAAGGTGAAATAGGTGGAATAACAGGGGGCTTTTTGATGCTCGTTATTTGAAAGACATTGTTAGACTGCATGCAAGATCTACAGAAGCAGATTAAATCAGCAAAACATCTCACTCAGTATCTGATAGGTGTGTTCAAGCTGCTTCAAAAACAGGCTGATAAGAGGATTATCAGCAGAGTCTAGAACTCTGTATTGGAAAACATGCACTGTAATTTAATTAATAAATTCTAGTCTATTGCTTTAAGGACTGTTAGTGTCTCATAGACTAGTCTATATGATAGAGGAAGAAGTGGAAAGATCAAGTTATCCACAAAGCTCCAGCATGGCTATGAATCCATGTCTTAATGCTTGTATCTTACATAGTTTGAGAACAAGTTCTGCTGGATGGCTGGAAGATCCCCAGGTGGGATTGGAAATTGTTCCTTTCCAATTGTTTGCCTTGTTGCACTGGGTCATGCACACTGTATCAGAAAGCCTTGAGGCCAGGGTACTGTCACTCTGCTATTATGGATTGTAAATTTGCTCTTCCTAGCCCTGCTTTGTTGCTTTCAGTATGTCACTGAAAAGAAAAGTCATAAGGATGTTTTTATTGTTTTAATTTATTTATTTCTGCTCAGATTCTGACAGTGGAATCACTCACGGCCACATGGGCTATGTGTTTTCGAAGACATACACGCCTACAGATGACAGCTATGGATGCCTGGCTGGCAACATCCCTGCCCTTGAACTGATGGCTCTTTATGTAGCTGCAGCCATGCATGATTATGATCACCCAGGAAGGACCAATGCCTTTTTGGTAGCAACGAGTGCTCCTCAGGTAAATAGATCTCAGCCGGTGTTGCTGTTAAGTTTGGAAGGTCTTGATAACAGCTTTTTCTTGCCAGTGGTGCCTGTGGCTTCCATTAAGCACAAGTCTGCTAAATATTTTGAAACAGCTTGTCAAAGTGACAGAAATAATCACTTCACTTGGGGATTGCTGGTAAGAGTCTTCTTACACACCCTCAGTTAGCAGAGCTGTTAAGAAAGGTACTGATAAACTGTGTCAGGAGAAGCTAAAGCTCTGCTGACTGATACAGAAACTGGAACTGTGAAATAAGGGAAGAATTATTCTACCCAATAAGGCACAGGAAGATTAAAATAAAATAAAAAAAACCCACTTGTATGATTAACTGCACCTTGCAAGTTAGTCTGTGCATGATCATGACATATTTTTGGTTGTTTCTATCGAACATGAGCAGCTGTCATCTTTTATGAAAGTACTTTTTCACTATACATCTATCAGGGAGGAGGGGAGTATGGAAAATAATCTCAGTTTTATGAATGTAGAACTGAGGCTTGCCTAGGGTTACACAGAAGGTGCTGCCAATGCTGGGAGTTGAATTCAGCAATTCTGAGTCATTCTTTATTAATTATGAGATCATGTTTCCTTACTTTACATAGCTGACCTGCCTGGCTTCATCATACTGGGCTGAAAAATACTTCTATGGACAAGGAAAGAGAAAAGGATAGTTTAATGATGACAATTAAGTTGAGATGCTGAAATTCTAGATTTACTCCCCAACCGGCATCCGAACTTGCTGAAAGCTTTTCTTTCTATAAACCAAACTGTCAAAAGACTGAATGCTGCTAAGGTGGAGAGATTTCCTGAAGCATTGTTGTCCCCTAAGGTCCATTTTCTAGATCCTTCTTTAGCTTCTGAATGACATTGCCATCTTTGTAAGAGTTATGCAACTTGATTTAGTAAAGATTTAACCAGTTTTGGATTTTAGCATTGAGAAATCTGTCAGGCCGAGTGTGTGTTGTCAGATTGCAAACTGGAATTCTACTTCTTTCTGTGTTTGAAATTGATCACACAATTGTCAGGTACAATTATCAAAGACAATAATCCCTGTTAACCGAGGTTAGCTCTAAGAAACAGGGAAGCACACAAACCTATGTTATATTAGTCATTAATCTGTGGCCTGAAACAGAATAATCTGTTGTCATGTGCTACAGTTCAGTAAGGAACCAAAAACCCAGGAGCATGAAAGACCCAGATTTTTCAAATCAATCTTCCAATAAATCATCACCATCACAACAATTCCCATGTCTGGTATTAGCCCTGCCAAAATGACATCCTCAGACCTTGAGAAATTCTTTTAAAAAAAATCAACCTCAACAAACAAATCAACCAAACCTGAACCTCCTTCGAGCATCACCCCTATGTCAATCCCATTTCTGCACTGCTGTGATTTTGCTAAGATGTTTCTCAGCTTTCCATTGCCCTCCTTGCTTCCACAGGCAGTGCTGTACAACGACCGCTCCGTCCTGGAGAACCACCACGCCGCTGCTGCCTGGAACCTTTTCATGTCCAGGCCAGAGTACAACTTCCTGGTCAACCTCGACCACGTGGAGTTCAAGCATTTTCGCTTCCTCGTCATTGAGGCAATTTTGGCCACTGACCTGAAGAAACACTTTGATTTTGTCGCCAAATTCAATGCCAAGGTAAGGTTCAGGTTCGGGTTTCTGGTGGAGGGTCAGAAAAGATTGCGGTTTTGGCCACATCACAGCGAAAACTCTAGAAAGGCTGCTGTGTTGCTATTTCCTCTGATTGTCCCTTTGACTGCTGTAAAACATCCTGTTGAATAGTAATCGTGGTTTTGCCTTTTTGTTGTTTTTTACCTATTTACATTTAGTGGCACATCTTCCCTTCTTATATATGTTTAGTGTTTTCAGAAAGTGGTTAAAGCTAAAGATATTATAGGCTATTTGAATGTAAATCCCACTTACATCCTACTTTTCAACATTGTTTTCTTGTTCACTAGCACTTAAGACCTATTAGCAAAATACTCAGGGGAAAAGAGTCAAAGTTGTTACGAAGTTTTCGTAATGGCTAGATACTTCCACTAAAGTTGTATTGATTTAATCACACTGCTATATTATCAAGGCATGGATATCATAACAACTGGGAAATTCTAATTTCAAATGCAGGGAAGCATGATCTTTCTTTCCTACTTTGTTTCAAATGGGTAAACCCCAGAGAAAGGTCACAAAAGTTCTTTTCCTCCACACTCCATTCAGTGAGTATAAAATCACAACCCTGGGAGAAACCTTTCTTAAAATTGATTCAGAGTTTCAACCTAACTTATTGGAAACCACCTCCTGTCAAGTTACTTTAGTAAACTCCATCACCCATCAAAGCTGTTGGCATGTTAACTAGATACCTGCCTTTGGAGCTGGTACTGCCCTCTTGTTCCTTGTGAGAAACACACCAAGAACACTGGGTTTCTTATCCAGGACTAGGACCTGCTACCTGATCTGGTGACACAGATAAAATATTTTCTTGTGTTATTACTTAGGATGGACCGGTATGCAGAAACTTTGAAGCCTCCAGATGTACAACTGGTTTTCTTTTCTATTTCCCTGTAACATCTCTCTCTTTGTTAGGCTTTAAGAAGCTGTAAAGAAAGGCCTTAAATTATGGTCCAGGTTAGACAGAGAACTGATCTCTGGATCTGTAAAAGTCTGAGCTCCTTCTGCACCCCTGCTAGTCATTTCCCAAAACATCCAGTAATGCCAGGGGGGTGCTTTAGGTCTTAATTTTGAACTCTGGGATCATTTTCATTATCCTGATTTCCTAATAAAGTATTGAATAAAATATAAAATATTGTCTGCCGGGGTTACAATGACAATAAAGGAATTTAGGCTATCTGAATACATCCTTTGAATTTGGCAGCTTGGGCCAAAAACCATCACTTCTGTGAACATGAGTAAGGAATGAAAAAAGACAGGCTAAACCAGTGATTACTGTGGTTTTGTCACAAAGATTAAATGTCTTAACTGTGGAAGAGGACAAGCTTGACCAAAGTACTAGGTGTAAACTGTAGATATTGAAAAATAAACTTGTCTTAAATCAATCAGTCTGCACAACACTAGGTGTAACCACTGTTGTAATCAACCAAGGTGATGCCTGAGACTGCAGATAAATAGAACAGCCACATCATGCCAGCTCACTGTAGATTTGAAAGGACATTTATTAACCTCCTTATTACTTGAATGGGCATGCATGGACTAAAAGTGGAAGAGAAGGTGCACATATTAACCAGTGCTGGTGGCTGAGTCTGGTTTTCCAGCAGTAATCACTGCCTTAAAAAGATACTATTTATGTTTGGTTGGCAAAAAAACTCTTTTGTACCAACATGGACTCAGAGCAGTGATATGCTCGTATATGGGGTAAAGGTGCTGTAACTGACAAAATTCACTCTGAATGGTCACACATTATTGATTGGATTGCTGAACTGTACTTTAGTATGTTGAGTCTGCGGTCAGAGTGACACTTCTGTACCAAAGTCAGTGTAAACCTGTGCAATGTAATCATTCTCACACTGGAAAACGTGCAGTCTGGAAAGCACCATGAAATAGTGAAGGAAGCTCACTGTCTGACACTTCGATGATACTGATGCCTTGGAACACTCGCTGCTCTCTGAATTCAATTATATTGGACCATGTACACCAAAAGCAAAGCCCTCATCGTGTGGACTCACTGCTCTGTGGGGCAGGGGACCTGCTGACAGAGGATGTGGAAGTTTCATCCAGTCACAGCACAACAACTTTCTATCCATTTTCAACTATTGCAAGCTTGACAATTAGAGTTTGTGTTTCAAGGAGGGAGTTGAGCTTCGGAAATTAAGTGGACAGTAGAAGTTAGCCCCTACCACACTAGGAGATACTCTAGGAATAATGGCTGAGATGGGAAAGTGTGGCTAATGGCAGTGAAAGTTGTATTGCAGACCTTTTGAAAATGTAAAAGGCTGAAGTGCTCAATGCCTTTGCAGGCTCAGTCCATGTGGTTAAGACCTGGCTTTGTGAATTCCAGGTCCCTGGGGTGTGAGAGAAATTCTGGACTGGAGAAGACTTATCCTAAATGAATGACATGGGGTAGGAAGCACTTAAACAAACTGGACATAGTCAAGTCCATGGCACCTGATGGGATGCAGCCATGTGTGTAATTACCTGATAGGGAGAGTAAAGCCAATGGGGCCAGGCTCTTCTCAGCAGTATTTGGTGACAGGACAAGAGACGATGGGCACAAGCTGGAATACAAGAATTCCCACTTAAGAAAATACATGTTTCCTCTGATGGGGATTGTACATTGGAAGAGGTTGCCCAGAGAAGTTGTGGAGTTTTCCTTCTTGAAGATATTCAGAATTAAATTGGATATGATGCTGAGCAGCTTGCTCTAGCTGGGCCTGCCTTGAACTGGGGGGTTGGACTAGAGTATCTCCAGAGGTGCCTTCCAACCTAATTTCCTGTGATGCTTTGATTTTATCGTGAGAGGTATGGAAAAAATTGAGAGAAGGAAAAAGGTAGGAAATAATTTCAACCATACTGGATTAACTAGGGAAATAAGCTTGTTACATGCATTTTCACGCTGCAGTTAAATCAGCATAACATTTGATGGTAATTTATCTTTGTACACCAATTAGATATTAACTTCTTGGAAAATGTCATGGAAAGATTGCATTTTTTTGTTGTCCTAGCAAATGCTTTCTAACAGGTGCATAATTTGCTAAATACTGATTTTCCATTATTCATCTCAATGCTCTTACATTTTCACTTTTTTTTTTTTTTTTTTACATATTACTCTACAACTAATGGTTAATTTCAGCCTGGGGTCTTCTCACCTGCTTATACTTCTGATTTTGTTCAAAAGCCAAATATATTGTGCAGTATCCCAGGGCTGAACTTCCTCTGTGGATGCATCCTTTTGCCCAGGATTGCTGTCATGGTTTTCTTTGTTCTGTCCACTAGGTGAACGATGATGTTGGAATTGACTGGACTAACGAGAACGACCGCTTGCTGGTTTGCCAAATGTGCATCAAGCTGGCTGACATAAACGGGCCTGCAAAATGCAAGGATTTGCATCTGCAGTGGACAGAAGGCATCGTCAACGAGTTTTATGAACAGGTAAATAAATGCGTGTCCAAAGTGGTATCTGTTGGTTGCATGTCTGCTGTTAAACAGCCCTGGAGCGTGATAGGGCTGGTGATGAGTACAAATCACAGAGAATAGGGGACAGGAGGGTGGCTAGAGTTACATTAATCCATCCTTTTGCTGGACCAGTAAAAGTCCATTTGTCCCTGAAGCTTCTGATGTGTTCTCAGAGACTTCTGATGATGCCCTTTACAGGCTTTCCTATTTAAGTGTATCCATACAGTGGTAATGATGAACAAGTGTTCCATTCCTCTTTTTTTTTTTTTTCCCCAGTCATCATGTCTCCCTTCCAGTGTTCTTTCATGCAGACTATCTTCTCATCCTTCCCTCTAAGTCCTTTCAAGATATCAGCTGATTCTCATGGCTCTCTCTGCAGTCACTCCAGGTGTCTCACACTGACTTTCAGTTTATCACAAACTCACTACATATTGATCCTGACTCGTGCTTTTTTTCAAGACAACACTTCCAGCTTCCAGAAGGTTTGTCAGTACAACTGCACTAATTATGCAAGGCTCTGCTGATGGTAGCTCAAGGAAGGAGAACAGCCCACAGATTGATTTACAAAGACCTGGGAGTACAGCCAGGCACTGGTCCTCTCTTTCTAGGTGTAAGGGAGCCCTTAATTGAACCTTTTCTCATTATAACCTATTTAGCCCTGCTGAGCGCAAGGGTCAGGGCTGTTCCCACACTATTCCTCTGTTTCCTGAGTGGGAACATATTTTGAATGGGCTAGTTAGATTAAACTCCACGTCCTGTCTTTTCCAGATGAAGCAAACAGGCAAAATCGCTGAACCAGACATCCCACAGACTTCTTGGGGAGGCTGTGCAGTAACTTGAAGTCACAGACTAATCCCTTTTAAAACCTTTTCAGCGTCCTTTAAATTTCCTGCACTTACAGGTTGGAAAAAAAACCCAGGATTTACTGCTGTCTACTGGAGTATGCAAAGAAGTAGGAAAAGGGACAAAATTCAGACATTGACCTGAAGCTCCTTCATTTATTGGAGACCTCCTGAGGAAAAAAAAAAAACAAAAATATGAACAATGAACCTTACATGTATTACAAATAGAGTTGGTTCCATTTTTTCTTTTCTTTTTTCTTTTTTTAAGAAAGGGAGTGTGTCCCAAAACAACCTTCATCTCCCAAATTTTCTTTCAGCAAATGTTTTTCTTTTTCGTTACAACTGTCCAAATGAATTGTACTTCACAATTCTGGTGATGATCGTAGCTTATGTGGGTGACTGACAAAACCTGTTAATCAGAAATAATGATATGACTTTCCTTTGGTCCAACGTAAATAGTGTCAGAGGGAAGTAACTGTTCCAATACATTAATATTGTCCAAGTGTTGGATAGTGAATTAAGCTTGGGAGGATTACATGTGTGGGAAGATACCATATTATCTGTTCCACATTAGGAATCTGGGTTATTTTCCATCATTCAGAAATGGGACTCAGGACATTTTCTTTTCAGGGCTTACTTTTGTCATTAAGGATAAATTAGGTTCTCAATTCCTTCTAACCTAGGTTAAAATCTGTTTTTCTTTCATGTGATATGCTACGAGAGGTGTATCCAACCACGTTCACCATGCTTTTGACCATCAGATTTTTTTTCTGAGAAGGGAAAAAAGTCTTCATATTCTCATTTCTAAAAGGGAGAATGTTATGGAAACTTTGAATTTCCATGGAATTATTATCGAAAAGCATACATATGTAAATTCAACCTATGCTGTGAAAATCATAAAATATCTTTCTTTTACTAAATTCCAATACCTTTGAAGAATTTCACTCCCATATAAATAAAACTCTATTAAAAATGTGTTGTATGAAAATATCCAAAATCCAGTGTCATATTGTTACAGGAGGTTTCCTTCTCTCCCCTTCACATGCTCAGCATACATATTTGAAGACAGGTTAGACATATTAAATAGAAGCAAAAAACACACTGCAAGACTTTTCGCATAATAAATCGTGTTTTAAGAGAATATGGAAAAAGAACATGTAAACATTTCAACAGTCAGCTTTCTTCCCACTACTGGCAGCTCACAAACAGGAAATCTCAGCTATGTTGCTGTAAAGAAGAGCGAGCTGCCACCTCTTCTTAATTTGTTTGCTATTTCAAGAATGGATGGCATGTTTCAGTGTTTTGTCAACAGTAGTATTTTGTGTCTAATGATTGAACATAACATTTAGGGGTGGATTATTAAAAAAGCAAAAAACAAAACACAAGGAAATGAGCCATTTGCTGTACAGTGCTCCAAAATGTAGCTCTCGTTCTTAGGCCTTCACTAAATACAGATACAGACGCAGTGTTGACCAGATACAATGTCCATGACTTTTGGAAAATTTAATTTACAAGGAGATAAATATGGGCAATCTGTAAAGTGATGGAAACTGAAAATGTATCTCCAAATTCTAAACTATATTCTCAAATATAGAACTCTGTGTTGTATTAAAGCATTAATTTATATATCAAGCTTGATTAGGTAAATTAGATTTTTCTTGGGGAGATGACATCTGGTCTTGTCATGTCTACTCAGCTGAAAACTCAGTGATGTCACCAGAAGCTTTGCTGTGATAGGGAAGTGAGTATATCAGATTAGGTTCTGCAATAAAGTTTTGCTTTATTTTACATTATGAGAGGAGAAAGAAAAAAGTCTTTCTCTACCTTCCCTCTACCCTTTCTGTCCAAGAAAAGCTAGCAAAAACTTCATTTATTGCTTTGAGCGATCCTTGCTTTCGTAGGGAGCATTCTAATAGTCCCAGGAAATTAATACTTATGACCCAAAACCCAAATCTCTATTAGTATGAAAACTAGCTCAGTGAGATAGCCTTTGCTTGGAGAAGTTCAGTCTTGTTCTGTGTAAACAAGTGGCTGACTACGAGGTTACTGGGAACTAAAAATCCCAAAATCAGAAGGGATTTTTTTTTTAAATTATGTGAAGAAAGAAATAAAATAAAAATTTTCAAATTTTTACACTCACAATGTAAAGTACAGGGCAAGGGCAATGGGTAACATTCTGCACAGTCGGCAATTCATTCTTGATCGAAAACATCCTTGATCAATTCACACTATCAGTAGTGGGTCCTGTCATAAGCAAAGAGCTGTAACTTTGATTAGCCATTTGACATGATGGCACTGCAGCAATGCCATGCTGGCGTGCTGTGGAAGTGGCATTGGACTTTAACTGTTTTTCTCTCATCATTTTTAATTGGTTTGATGTGCTTTACCTTTTTGTGACACAGTTTTGTTTCATTTACTTCAGAGAAGTTACTGCTATTTTCCATCTCCAGGGTGATGAAGAGGCCAGCCTGGGCTTGCCAATCAGTCCTTTCATGGACCGCTCTGCTCCTCAGCTGGCACACCTCCAGGAATCGTTCATCACTCACATTGTGGGACCACTATGTAACTCCTATGACTCAGCGGGGCTGATGCCAGGAAAGTGGATAGAAGATAGTGATGAATCAGGAGACACTGATGAGCAAGAAGAGGAAGAAGTAGCAGAAATGGAAAGTTGTGAAAATGCTGAATCCAGTAAGTTGTTCACACTTATATTTTTCAACAGAACGAGTTCCCTACTGTGACCAAATAACTAAGCAGAGACTGTGAGCTGGTTGGGTTCAACATGGGCCATTCCAGAGTGACAGTGAGTCTGTGCTGTCCTTGGAGAAGCTGGAATGTAGGCAGTTATGTTGGTAAGGGAGCTGCTTCATGGTTTCAGGACTGGTGCAGTTCATATCTATTACTTATCTCTACCTTCAGTTGTGGCTTCTGGTGGTGGATCACCGATCTCTGCATGAGGGCTTTTTAGACTCTTTCAGGACTGGCTTAGTAGAGTGCAACAATTTCAGTTGAATAAAGGATGGTATGGAGTAGACTTTTGAAGGAGAACACTCATCATTACCATAAATCACTGTGAAATGAGGGTCTGAGGTGCTGGTGCAGTAAAAAAATTATTAACAGTGGAAGTATTTGAATGCAAACCTCTCCAAGGTAATATGTGGAGAAGAGTGACGAGAGAATTGGCTCTGAGCATGGCTGTGTTGTGTGCTGGGAGCTGCGTCACTTGGCCCTTCTGGCTGATCAGTAACTAAAGCTGATAGTTTCCTCCCCCTCTTGCAGAAGGAATACGGTGCCAGTACTTTTCATACTGAGAGGAAAGCTTTGTAATTTGAAAGGAGTTTCCAGGCACTCATGGGAAGTGATCTTTAAGAGAAAGACTGCAACTGTAGACCTATTTCTTTTATCAGTTTAATGCTGCATGCTTTACCTTTTTATTTCTTTCATGTTCTTTCTACCTCTGAATTTTCTACTACGGTTCTTTTATTTCCTTCCTCTGGGTCATCTTTCTCTCTCTCCCTTTCTAGGAAGCACCAGCCTTAAGTGTGCTAGTGAAATATCAATAAAGAGCTTTTTCTTTTAACAACCTCACTTCTTCTGGTCTTTCCCGCCCATTTTCATGCCCTCCATGCCTGAGTATCATCCCTGTTTTCTGCTGAGGAAACTGAGAAGCAGAAAGATTTGATGATTGCAATAAGTCACATGTGGAACTAAAGCCTGTGTCTCCTGATGTACAGAATTAACCTTTTATATCTAGTAAGATCCAGAGATATAGTTTGTATTGAAGAAATCCTTGCTATTGTTCACACACACATTTGCATGTATTTTAGATTTACAGGTTCCCGTACACAAAAAATGTTGTTGAGAACAGCAAACATTAAGTACACACACACATGGGCTGATTTTAGCACCTTATGATCTCTCAGTTCTGTAATAGCAGGCAGAGCCACATATTTGTGGCAGATTGGCCTTTATGGAATTGCCTACCAGGAGGAAAGTGTGTGTGATAGGTAACCAACACAGACTCCAAAGCCTGAAATGTTTACTGCTGTATTAAGAAGGAAGATGAAGGATGTTCTCGTATATCCACTGGATTGTCTTACCTTTAAAATCCCCAGTTTCCTTTCATCTCATATCTCTGTATATTTATCTTCTGTATCACCAGTAGCAGAGTCCAACAATGCTTTATTCAGGTTAAAAGCACTGACCTTTATTAACTGTTGTCCCATTGAAAACAGGCCATTTTTAGTTGTTTTCTGTTTTCCTTTCTATTTTTTTTCTGTTTTCTTTTTCACATTCTACTCTGCTATAGAACTTGACTAGTCAGCCTGGTGTTTTTAGGCTACGGTTTTCAAAACTTTAAAAATGAATGTATCAGAAGTTGTGAAATATCCAACAAATTCTTCCTTCTTACCAAATGTGGGGTGCTAATCTTTACAATCATGCTGTTTTCTTCAGGTTCCCTGAATTTTCTGTGACTGTGGATCTGAATCAGGAATCTACAACATATTTTGTGTCAATATAGGGGGTTTACAGGTCATAAGAAATTTATATCAATAATCAACACAATTTTGGAGTCTAAACTTTCTCAGTGAAACAAAATAAAAGGTTGAGATGTCAGATGCATAGATATGAAGAGTTGTATAGGTGTTAGTAAAGATCTTTTTCTTGGTGGAAATGCCTTTCAGGCAGATAGAAATACAATTGTGGCAGAAAACGCTTCAACTAGGTCCTGATAATTCACTGAAGCTGTTGAGGTAAATTTAAGAGTTATAAAACCTTAAGGTAGCTGGAAATAATATTTGTTACTGCACAGGAGCGCGTACTTTCACTGAAGGTCTGATGCAAGTATAAGAATTAAACAGTCTCGGTCTTCAGTGATTCAGACAAATTTTAACACCACAGCAAGTGCTCACTGGTGTCTGCAGAGAGCAACAAGATGTGGGGTCACCCAGGAAACCCAGCAGAGAATGTCCTGCTTGCAGCATTGGCAGGGTAGGGGCTTCTTATTAGTGCTAAACCTGAAGGTTTCCTACAGGGAACCAAGGGCTTTCTAATGAAGGATTGAGTTGGATTTGGTCTGTGCTCAGTGAAAAGCTCTTTGTTTCCAGTTCAAAAGCTTCAAGGGCTAAACGTTTTGGATCCTGACACAGACATACTTTAGGCAACCTGCAAATACTAATCCACGCAAATTTATTTGGTACAAAACATTCCTCTACGTCACATTCTTTAAAAAAGAAATCAGCAGTTGTCTTTGGAGGGGTTGTTATTTCAGTTCTGTGACTGCCAGTGGCACTGTTAATGACCAGGGAAAATTTTCAAGCTTTGTACTGTTAAGGAGTTAACAATCTGTGTTGGACAGACTATACTGACAGAACAAAACACCCTTCAGACAGCAAAACACTTGTAGTGCAGCTGTGTCAGGAGCCATGAGAACCACCAGTGACAAAAACCACTTTATAGGTTAACAGCAGGGGACTGATGCTTCAAAATAAGACAAGTGAGCTCCCTGATAGTATTTGGCTATATGAATACTTCTTCAGTGGTGAGATTGCTGCCAAAGCTTCAAGGTCACCTCCACTGCAATGGTAGAACAGCAGATCTCTGACTTTGAAAACAGAACACAGAAATGGGTTTGACCACTAATGCTTCATTAGTAACCCTTCATTTGTTATCCTTCTACAGCTCAGCTCAGAGGTAAAATGTGGAGAAAACAATTCAAGACATTTTCCCTCAGACAATCAGCAGGGATCCATTGGATGTGGGGAGGGCACAGAATTTAATAATGTGTGTTATGAAGGAGGCTGATCAGAGTCTTTAAGCACTTGATATAAAATTAGCAGAAACAGCTTAACAACATAACATGCTTTATGCATAACCATTCAAGCACTAGATGCCTCTGTGAGCAGCACAGTCAGGTGCAACATGCAGCCTGGGATAGGATGAAGCTGGGGCTTAAACTGTCCAGGAAACCAGTTTACTTTCCCAGAGGTCTGGAGAGGTGTAGCTTTCTGAATTTTAAGACTGTTTAAATTTGTGGTTTTAAAATCCTGTTGGTCAAGTTCCTATATGTCATAGTACACCCCATCTACTTCCTACACCTTCAGTCCCTTTTCCTTCCCTCACAGAAACTGGTACATTAATGTCACCTGGTGTTTTACAGGAAAGAAGAAGTTCAAGAGGAGGAAAATCTACTGTCAGATCACTCAGCACCTGCTTCAGAACCATAAAATGTGGAAGAAAGTAATTGAGGATGAGGAGAGGTTAGCTGGGTCAGAGAAGCAAGGTGCAGAGCAATCCCCGCTGCACCAATCTTCAGAACAAATCCAGGCCATCAGGGAAGAGGAGGAGGAGAAGGGAAGCCCAAGAAGGATGAAGAGGAGAACACAACTGTAGAACCAAACCAATGACAATATTTACAGCAGTATTTTAAGACAGATTGACTTGTGCACAGACTCTTTCTCAAGCCAGCACAGCATTTAGACACAACACTGTAGAAGTATGGGATAATGCGCCTACAGCTGTTTAATTTGTTTCTCTTTCCTTTTTATGGTGAGGTACATTGTTTAAACTCCTATGCTCAAGGAAGCTTTCACACTGCAACACCGGCTTTTACAGACTTTCTTTAAAGAGATTTGGGGGTGGGTGGAGTTATATAAATATATATATATATATATATATAGCCAGGGTTATTGGCTGCACACTTCAGCAAAATACATTTAGTGATATATTATGGTCACTGTGATATTTACAGAAGAAAGTTACCTAAGGAAATGCTGCTTCTGAAGAACATTTGCAGTTAACAGTAAGGTACCAGTTAAGTAGCTTTTGCTCTTAATGCTGAGGGATAAAAGTTCCAAAGCTTTATATGAATGCTGATATATCCTGCCAACACATATGTGTGTGTGAGGGGGTGTTTGCAAGTGTGAGTGGATGTAAGGAAATATAGCATAGTTTGAGTTCTTACTACACTAGCTGTAGCACGTGTCCCAATACATGACAACAAACAGAAGGCCCGAATTTTAGAGAATTTGTGCCCACCGGGAGAAGGGAGCCCATTTTGAGGAGCTCTGCATTCCCCGTAGGCCTCCAAGTCCCAGTCCAGCTGCAGGCAGCAACCTTTGAGCAGAGGCTGGCCCAGGTTGTCAGCCTGGCCCTGTCTGGCTGTGCAGGCTCCTCCTCCTCCTCTTCCTCAGCGCTTCCCACACTGCTGGCGAAAGGGATGTGCCAGGAAGGCCATTTTCCGAAGGGGTCCTGGGGGACTGTGTGACACACTGCCCTGTTCCCCTGGAGAGAACCTGGCCCTCTGTGTGAATGGCTGTGTGGGGCAGCGTGTGCGTGTGTTTGGGCAGGAGGGAACAGAGAGCAGACGTGTCCTTGGAAGCGAGAGGTGCTCTGTCAGCTCCTGCCACAGCCTAACGCCTCCGTGCATCAATGACCAAATACATCACAGAATCGTAGAATCAGCCGGGTTGGACAGGACCTCTGAGATCATCAAGTCCAACCCTTGAGAACAAAGCTAAACTGTATCTTGTGAGAGCAGAAGAAGGGGAGTGTGGGGGCCATGGCCTCCTCAGAGCAGTGCGGGCAGTGCATTAGAGCAGCATGGGGGACAGGTGCCAGTCCTGCGTCCACTGGACACTCGTGTGTCCCAGCAACCACTCACATGACCTTCAGAGAACTCTGTTTTTCAGTGTGAGGTGCTGGTTGGGAGCAGTTTGTTGCTGGCATTCTGCTTAGAAGCAGCATGTTTGATCCCACCAATATACTTTTTTTTTCCTTTTTTTCCTTTTTTTTTTTTTTAGAGAAAGAAAAAGATCAGGCCTGTAAGAAGAGCAGATCTTTTTTTTGTTTGTTTGTTCTGTTCATTTGTTTTCTCTGTTGTTTATGCTGTGAGCCAAATGTCTATTTAAAAAGTTGGATATTCACTTTCAATATTTTATTTCACGATATTATATTTGTCAATGATTAGCTATCTAGATGTAAATATGGAAAATTTTTATGGGTTCCTGTAGATAATGATATCTTTAAGAAAAAAAGAAAAAAGAAAAAGAAAAAAAAGGGAAAAGTTGTTTTGTAAAGATAATTTTTTAAAAAATAAATACAAAAACATTTTTATACAGTGTAGCCATTTCAAAACCCCACGAAGTCTTGAATAATTTCTATAGACCCTTATGGGAAGCCAGTGGTCTATAGAATCAAGGCTTCAAAATATTAATGCTCTTGGGGCTGGCCACACCAACCAGTACCACACAATTTAGAGACTTGTTCCCACAGAAAGAATTATATACATAAAGCTCAGTATCTCTCAAAAATTATTTGACTATATATACTTTTTATACTTTGATCCTGCAGCCATTTACTAAGAAGAGGATTGCTTGTGAAAGGCAGAGTTTGTAGAAGTCCTTTCTGTATTAAATTTCTGACATTACACTCATCACTTTTTGCCATTGTTACACATTCACCAAATTTCATGATCCTATTTATACCTCCCCAAAAATGTTGGAAAACATTCTCTATCAAAGCAAATCAATATGTGTTTATCACTTCAGGGCTTCTTTTAGCTCTGCATTTCTGTCAGAGTGAACTTTCACTCAAAACAGGATTTGGGGTTTTTACTGGTTGCATTTGCCCAGTATCATCCCATTTTACTCTTACCAGTAGAGACGTTTGCCTTTCAGGAGAGTGACTAGAGCACAGTTCTGAATGATTTTATCAGCAGAACTATTTAGTAAGTGTTTTCCAATGGAATCAGAAAAGCAAATTGCACTGTTATTTTAAATAAGCAAAGGACATAGCAGAATTCACTCAAGAGAAAAAAGGATGTCTCCAAGACCTCAGCCAGTCTCCAACAGTTCCAGCTTGCACTGTTTTCACACCTCTTTAGTCACTTTGGTTGATAATTTTATTTGGGTTTTTCTTGTACAAGTGATATGCATACCTTATCATATGGGAAGGATTTATTATGCCTCATTCTGTCCTTTAAAAATTAAACTTCAAGAGATGCTTTAAAACGTCACATCTCCAAGCACTTTTTTCTTGATTTTCAGTACATAATCACTGCAACTGGATCTTAATATTGGGTTTTATATTGCCTTTGCTAGAAGAAGGAAAAATTATATTGCAGCAAGTGTTAATGCATGCCCAGTTGGTAAAATTACAAAGAGGCGTTCAAGAATGAGGCAAAATCCTGTAAGTGGAGTTCCACATATTCCTCTGAGCTGGCATACACAGGGTTCAACTAAGAAAAAATATCCTGAAAATGTGCTGAAGTGGAATCATTATATTTTTCTAGCCATGATTTTGGTTGCCATTAAGTAATATTAGTGTCAGCTTCTAATTAAAGTTTTCTTTCTATATTGCCAATGCAGCTGTCAGAAATTGATCCTCCTTTGCTACCCAAGCCTGTTTGTGGCTACAGTCTGATTAACTCAGGTCTTTAGAGTGAAAAAATTGCTGACAGGCTTAAAATGAGAATGATCATTGATTTTATCCAAAATGGAAGGAATACCAGTGTATTAGTAAAGTAGCTGCAATTGTTTAACTTGTTATGAGGTGATAGTTACTAATCAAATCTAATTTCTGCTGGTGTCCACTTCTTATGAATTTGATTTTCAGTCTTTGAAGTGCATGTCTGGCAGGCAATGATGCGAAAATTTCCAGGTTGTCTTACATTTAACAAAAAGAAAATAACAGATTTTATCACAAGAATGTGAAAAACAATTTTATTTTTTCTTTTTGATTTGGGTTAGTAGATAATAAAGCAGGCAATTTTAGGGGGTTTTATTAATATTTTCTAGTCCAAAGGAGGCAAAACTTTTGACCTGCAGTTACAGAAACCTTTTTGAGGCTAGATCTTATGGTTTTCTGCTTTGTGTAGTCCTAAAGAAACAAACAAAAAAAAAAGACATAGTTTTCAGTTCTTTAAAAAGAGGAGGAGAAAGATTAAATTGTTATTTCCTCTTGGATATTTTGTTTTCTCCACTGTTATGTCACTTGGTGGCTGATCCTGTTCTCTTCTAGTCTAGGAGGAGTTTGCTGTTCCCTGAAATTGGAGGCTCTTTGCAGTGCTGGCAGCTCCCAGTGCAGTGACAAAGGCACTCTGCCCCTCACAAAGCAATCACGTAGAAACACTTTTGTCCCTGTATGAGAGTTTCCTGGATAGCCATATGCTGTTTACTGTGGAATATAATGTCTCTCATTACACTTGTCTTGCAGATGGAAAACATGCAAGTAGACTGTGAAAGGCCCAAACTATTTAATTACCTTTTCTTTTAGGAGGAGTCTGAGACTTTAGCTTCCAAGAACCCAAAAATGCTGTCTCTAGAACAATGTTCAAAAGAACCACAGTTTACTATTTCTGCTCTAATCCTAGAATCTGGTGTTGATTTGTTTCTAGCTAATCTACAGAACATGTTGACACCCATCTCTGAAAATCATCACCTCCTTCAGTAGAGAGATGAGCTTTGATATGATGTTACAAGCCATGCATTAGAAATTAGTTGCAATAAGTAGGGAAAAGGTATTTTACTGTTCTCTTGGCAGTATTTTGGATTGCCTTCCTCTGTGACTGAAATTCTTTACAGAAGGCTGGGGAACTCCTGTCACATTGTGAAGGGTGCTGGCTCCAACAGCAAATGATGGTCCCATTCTGCCATTAAATGGTTCCCAGGGCAGGTGTAATTTGAGAATGCATTTATTATCAATGTAAGGATAGTTGTTAATCATTTTTTAGCCTGACATCGTGTGTGAATTTCTCTCTGCATCATCAGCAATCTAAAATCCAAGACTGCGACTGCTCAATACCTTTTGAGTGGATGAATTTGGGTCTTTTACCTTTAGTGTTCTACTGTTAGTTCTTAAGATCCTGATGGTCTGATTTGGGAAAGGAAGTTAAGTCTGAGAAGGTTCAAATATATGCTTCTAAAAGTAAGAGTTAGCATCTAGGCAAATTCAGTTCCCAGCCCCCGTTCTATGCATTCCATGCTGGACGTGAAGTTCCTTTGTTTTCTTTAGAAAGTTGTAAATTCCTGTACGCTTTTTAGATATAATTTATTTTTTTTCTGAAATTCTGGTGCCATCTTTTTTCAGAAATGCCCTGGAAAGTGGAATGCAGTGTGGAGAAGCAAAGGCTTTTGCCAAATTGAGCATCAGTCAGTGCTAGGGCCCATGACACCTGCCCAGACTGTGCCTCAGTCTGGGTGCATTCCCACCCAGTGCTGTGCCTGCCCTGCTTTTGAAAATTTTGCCGTAAGTACAGTGCAGCAAAAGATTTGTGGTTGGTCCCAGTTGTTAACTAAATACATGTGCTAAGTCATTTTAATTATCCTGCTTGGTCTGTGTGGTGTGACACAGGGTCAGGGCTTTGCTGTTGATGAAGATGGTTGCAAGTTTTAGTCCACTCTCACTGACTTTCAAAGGCCAGATGTGCCAGTCATTGTGAGCCTGGGCAGCCCAGCAAACCCAGGTCCACCTGAGACTGTGATCCAAAGAAGACACAAGGTGCTTGACCAACAAATACCCCAGGCAGCTGCAGCAGGTGGTTCAAGTGAGGGAGAGGCAATGCAGATGCACTGTGGTTCGTTCTAGGGCTGATCCCTCTGACAGACAGTGTCCAGGAGGGTGGAGGACAACAATGACAGTCTATGGCTGTTTTTTCCCCAGAAGAAGAGGGTTTTGACTGTTGGAAAACCTCTTAATTCATAAAAACAGCATACAATATTTGCTATCACTTTTGTGAGTATTGCTATGATTGAAGTGTACGATGTTTGAGGAAGAAGGGTTTAAATTTAACAATGAGTATAAGAATTTGTTGAGCATCCCATGGCCTCATGGACAAGAGATTAAATCAAGGCAAGTGCCCAGAGCAGAGAACACACCATCACAGATGGGAGACAGGCACAAAGGGTTGCTTGCTCTTTCCAGTCTCAAGCTTAAGGCTTAAGAACTTGAGTATTCTTCAGCTGACAGCACGGGGTTGGTGTAATTAGTCCTCGAGCTGAGGGGGTTGTACACATATAAGAAGCAAGTCAAAGTGGCATTTTGTGGAAAAGAGAAAAGGAAATTGTAGTCCAGTATGAAACACACTTTATGCAACAAACTTCATTTTTCTTTTCTTTCAAAATCAGATGTAATCCCCTGAAATTATGTAACCATAGATTTTCTGGGGATTTAATTACTGTTTGATGTTGCAGCATTAGTCAAAATTGTGGCAGCATTAAAGAGAATATAATTATTCCCATTACCTAGAGTGAGGGAGTCTTTTAATATTTTTTTCATATTTTTAGATGAATCAACAAATAAGAATGTCCAGGGCTCCTGGAGAAAAATTGTGTCAAGGGGTTTTGAACAGATGGGGGAATAATTGAAATCAGATGAGAGCTCTCTTAGGCGACCACTGGAAGAACTAGCAAAAATACTGATTATTGGAGTCAAGTTTTAAATTAGAGCAAAATAGCACCAGTGCTTCTGAGAACAACTTAGTATGACCAATCTTTTTTTGAATTTCATCACTTTCTTTTAGAAAAACAACATTCCTCTGGCGGTATATCAAAGCAGGGTTTAGCCCCTGCTGTGGTACTTATTGAATCCTATTGTTGGAGGGAGCAGTGTGAGTTATCCACCATTTACATCCTAATTATGATTTGTTCAGAGGCCAGTAGTGGGATTTTGCTGGCAGGCAGGTGTTCTTTTGGTGAAAAATACATCACACCTTCTCAGTAGGCGATGCTGCCTCCATGAGCACCCACCTGAATTCTTAGGACTATACAAACCTCCAGAGCCTGGTGGCAGAAGAGTAGGTGTATTTCCAGAGAGTCTTTTTTCACAGTGACAAAAGGGGTCAAAAGCTTGAACTAGATGACAATACTTCTTTGATAAAACTGAAATGATAAGCATTGTGCAGTTTGAAACCTTGCCCATGTTACTTGTGGTGTATGCAAAGATTCCCCTGAGTGTTTGTACGTGTAAAACTGCATCTTCTGGGAGGTGATGAGTTTGGGTAAAGCCAACTGGCCTTGGCTGTGTTCTACCAACCTCGAGGATAATGGTAAACCAAGAAGAATTTTTGACTGAAGTTGTTTAATTCTCCCTCATTAAGGAAAACTTTGCTTCATGCTAGGGGAGGAAGAAAAGGAGCATGTTCCTTTCATTTGAGCTTTTCAGGTGGCTGGTCTGTGCCAGTTGTTTCTTACTTCCAGAGCCCTGCCTGTAGTATGTCCAAGGTGTGGGAATGGGGCAGCAGATGAGACTTCTTCTGCCATGGATGGTATATGGGATCTGTGTGCACCAAGGAGCACCACTGAAATCTGCAGGTGTGGGAAGGGATGTATCCCAGCAGCAAACTGGATGGGGAAACCCAAATAATTCTGTTTTCTGCGTGGGAGCGTAAGAGCAGGTATAAAGGCCTTTGGCACAGCTGCAGACCATGTGTCCTTTTGTGATTGAATACTCCTGATTCAAAACCATAGTAATCAGATCAAATAAGCAAAACAGAGTGTGCACAGGCCTGGTGAGGCAGGTGTGTGTTAGATGGCTTCTCCTTGGGCTTGCAGAGGGAGCTCTGCTTGCAATGTTGGGCTGGGTTCCCAGATGGAATGGGGCAGCCCAGCATGGGGGGAGGAACTGGGGGCAGGTAAAGAATAATGCTGAATTTCAGAGGGTTGTTGTCAAAATAGCTGGAGAAATACCTTAGAGAAATGTAACCCATCTCTATACTCACCTTGCCATGGTTTGCTCACAGTGACAGCCCTCAGGCTCGGATGCTCTACTTTTCAACTGGTCTTCCTTTTCCACAGCGAACACTTAGAAACAGTTAATGTGAATCAGCAATTGTTCTTTGCTTTTAAGGGTTTATTTAAAGGAGATTGAGTTTTGAGGGTTTTGGTGGTGGTGGTTTTTTCTCCCCTGACACTAGTCATTTTGCCCCCATGCTTTCACAAAAAAGAAACAAAAAGGCTCTGTGATCTGATCAGAGAGCAAGCAGGGGTCTGCCATGTGTGTACATACTGCTTTAGGTAGAAAGCCTGCCGTCTGTTAAAGCTGTCTTTCCTTTGCAAAATTCCTGCCTGATCCTGACACACAATGAAAATCTGTATTTGAATGCAAAATGTTGATTTTTTTTTTTAGGTGTTTGTAAACCTTGATACAGTACTGCAGATGGTATCCCAAAAGATCAAAGACAACGTTAATAACTGCTATGTCGTGTTGATGATATTTTTAATATTTCAATCATGTCAGCGTACATTTGGTCATTACTTTACTAAAGTTAAGTTTTCTTTTCTTGAGTAATCGATATAAGATGTTTGCATGATGGAAAGTAATTTAAGTTCACTTTTAAAAAAGCCATGATTCATTCTGTAGGTTATGTTTGTTTAACAGATTAACATTTTCACTGACGGGTGGCAGTTTTTTTTTTCTTTTTAGTGCTTTTTATTAAAGAACATCTAGGACATTTTCCAACAGAAACACACTTTGCCTCCAGTTGTGGAAGAAATACCTTAAAAAGTAATTGTTTTCCAATACAGTTTTACCATTTGGGTAAAAATATGAAGTGTGTAGGAGATGTGATAAAAAAAATATTCAAAATCCCATTTTGGTAAAATAATCAAGAAATTAACCTAACAAGATTAAAACCCTTTCTGAATGAAAATTTTGGGTGTGCCAATATAATTGAAGCGCTTGACCCCCACCAGATTTTAGGTCTAAACTATACAAATTTTGTAGTTTAAAATTTGGCAACGGGCCAGCCAAAGTTCTTTTACTTTGGGAAACACTGAGGAATTTGGTCACCTTACATTCTATCTTGTGAGGTTTGACTCCTGGCCTGGGCACCGCACCTCAGACAAAATTATTTTGATGATACTTATTCAGACTCAGTTCTAGTAGAAAGTTTCCACGAATCACCCATGTACTTCAAATTTAATCCCTCCTTGACTTTTTTTTTTTTTCACTTCAAAAGGTGAGAAAAAGGTGGGGGGAGTATAATTTTATATGGCTCTATTTGAAAAGGGGTTTTGTGTACCTTTATAATTCTTTTGAAGCAATATTTTAAAAAATAACTGCCAGCCAAAGTGGCAATGCAGAAAAGTGCCATCTTGTTTAGGATTTGTACACACCAGTTTTTAACACAGTGTTCTTTTCACTAAGTACTACATACGTTAATTTATATTTATATATTGTCAATATTGTTGTAACCAAGCTTCTCCTTTCTAAACACTTCAGGAACAAGGCCTTGTATTTTTAGGTGATTTTCATAAACAGAATAATTCTTTTCCTTTCACTAGTATCTTGCACTCGATACATGTAGCAATACTTAATATATTCTCTTCACAAGTATTTGTTAAGTGATTTAGTTAATGGCTGATAAATGTTTTGTACAAAATAGATTCTGTACAGGAAAAAAAATCTTTTAGATAAACATTATTTATTTTTACTGTTTTGTAAGTTAGACACTATAATGAAGCTCCTTTTTGCCAGAATTACTGGAAGTGCCTCTTGGTAAAATGTATTATACAGTAAATATGTATTCAAAATTGTTAGAAATACTTGTCACAAAATGAACAATGTGGATGTTGCAATGTGAAGACAAATGTACAACATAAATATAATTCTGTGGTATCCTGTTGCTGTGTTTCTTTTCCTTTATTGAACAATTTTGCTTTCGATGCCCAGCTTTCAGTTTATGCACCAGACTGCAAATGACCTTTACCCTCTTCAGATTCGGACTGAAATCTAGTAAAGCTCACATATATTGAATTACCAGTTTAGCTGCCAGCCCTGCTTGGTGCATGTTAGTGACCCAGTTTATTGGTATCTGACTCCCTGCAACATTTACCTGCAGAATTCTGCAGTTTAGTTCAGATCACTGATAAATCCCACATTAAACGCTTTGCGTCTCAGCCGATCTGTGGAAGGCCTTGTTATAAACTTTTTCCTTTAGTGATGACCAATATTTCAGCATCCATTAACTGTTTCCTATTCAATCCAATTAATATGGACCATGCTGATTGAATGTGGTCTACATTACATGGCAGCATTCAGCCACAGTAGTGCAGAGTGACCAATGCTTTCAGAGGAAATGAAAATTAACAGTTTCCCATATTAATCACAGAAGTAATCTGGTTAAGGTGAGACATCAGCGAGTGAAATCATCTTTCTTGTGATTTTAGTTGGTAAGTATGCTGTCATTCTTCAGTGAAAATTGGGCTAGTCTTTTATGTGGGCTGGAATTGACATCTAGCTACTGTCTTTGCTCACTGTTTAGAATTTCAAAAATTTATCTTACAGCTTTCAAAAATTTTCCCCATTTTTGAAGTTTTATTACCTACTTTCACCGAAGCCCTGGAGAGCTCTTCAGCCAACTGATTTGAAATGGCTGCATAAAAATTATCTGGATCAACCATGTATTCAAAGCCTCTTTTCCTGTAATTTAACAGATTTCAGAATCCAGAAAAGCATCAGACACATATCAGGCTGTCAGTTTTGAAGTCCCACCAGTTTATTTGTCCTCTGGCTAAAATTCTGAGTGGCAGAAATCCAGTTAATTTGCACCAGGCAGTGATTAGAAAGGTATTAATCTTTGTCAGTACTAAATTAAAATATGTTTATACCTATCCTAAGGGAACTGCTTGTAAGTCTGCAGCTCATCTGTCCCAAACACTTAATAACTCAACAGCATGGAATTATTTGATCCTAAAATTCACAAACATACGACTGGAGTTGCAAAGAAAAACTTTTTCCATTAATATTCTGCATCACAAAGAGTAGGGGCTACCAAGGTAAAGAATGCACTCGTCTTTGAAAAGCACCAAACTCTCTCTGGAGCTCTTCAAACAGCAAGAGGTTCCCATGGGAAGAGATGAGCAATAAAACAGGGAGCAGAAGCAGTCAGTCTGCTAATGAGACCACACATGAGCAGGCCTCTCCTGGGGTTCTGGTGAAACATAAAGCAGCCCAGTAGCGGCTCAATTAAATGTTGCATTTTCCAGGTGTTCAAATTACTCGCAATTGCTTGGGCAAATCCACTTGCCTAAAAAGCTCTTAAAATGTTTCCCTAAAAACAGAATTCTCAGAGAACTCTTGGTGCTTTGTTTAGCAATGCTTTCTTTAACGTGTCTTTAATTATCTTATCAAAAACCTATAGAAATCGACATCATCCCATGTGCCACTGTAGATTCCTTGGATATCATCAGTAATTCCCATAGGGACAGAAGAGCAAATGACATTAAGTCAGGTGTGTAACTTGCAGGTGCTCCCCTGGCTGATGGGGTCTGTAGCTTTGGGGTTACCATCTCAGTCTGAGGGAGAATTTTAACCACTCCACACTGGGTTCCCAAAAACCTGGCATGCTGAGGTGGAAGCTGTGAAAGCTAACTACTTTGCTGAATGGCTTCAGTGCCAAGAGGGGATGCTGACATTGCATTAATTCATGAGAAAACATGCAAGTTTATAGTTTTACTGAATGTTTTGATGGCTTGTGCCACAATCAAGGCAGATTGCTAATTATAATCACTCAATAATCTGGGGTAGACTTGGGCATAGTGGTTTGGAAATGTGATACAGACAAAAGGTTGCTGCAACATCTGCTTTTCTGCAGCCAGGAAATACAAAGCAGAGGGTTCCTGTTTGATCTGCTCAATGGCTTGGTTTATAGTGACTTTTGTTGGTGGTAAATTACTTCCCTTCACAATCCTTTGCACATGGTGATTGTTTATTACTGTGCTTGCCAAAGGCATCATATTCTACAAATTTAACACCTTCTGTGTAATCAACTCTTCCGTTCAATTTTTTGCACCATCTTTTTCCAGGTTTCTAGCAAAAACCTTTGTGTTTAAACTTAGTTCAAAGAATTTGTCTTCATTAAGAAAAGTGCTATGGGATTTTTTTAAGATTAATGGTATTCATTCCTAGTGGCTGGACAAGTTCCAGTTTCAGTTATTCCATTTCAGTTATTGCATTCTCCTGCACAGAAGTTCTCCCCAGAGCTCCAGTGGGTACAAACACTTCCTACCCCCAAGGGATATATCACGTCACCGGATCTCTCATTCGTCCTTTTTGTTATCCCTCATCAGAGACGGGTTTCACAGGGCCCACTGGGATCTTTGCAAAGTGTGGTGCTGTATAAAAATCCCTGCTATTTCTCCTGTTCTGAAAATTCTCGTCAAAGCGTGGGAGGTTTTTGGTTTTTTGTTTTAACTGATCATTCAGAAGGAAAACCTCTGAGCCACTGACTTTCTGCAAGTGCTTTCAAGGTAATGGACAGCCATTGGCCAAGCTTCTCTATGTTCCCTCAAGCATCCAGCATAGAGAGCATACATAGAAAAGGTAATCTGTGGTTGGGGTGCAGAAAACACATTTACTGCAACTGCTTTTTTTTTTTTTTTTTTTAAATTCTTCTTCCTTATATTTCATTCAAGGGGCTGAAAATATGAACGTCAGGAATAATTTGATGAGCACCTCAGGGTAATGAGACTTCTCAGAAGGACCTCTGCATATCCTAATAACAAGTTAGATGATCTAAAATATAATCCTCTTCTATTGCTTTTGCTGTCTTTTGATAAAAAAAGTGATCTTGAAGTTCTTAGGTGGACAAGAAAGTCCTCAAGCCTGAAATTCTCATGGCAATCCCCAAGAGCTTCTAGCAGCTGAAGTGTGTTATTTGTCTCTGGTTCTTTGATATGGAAGGGGTATGCAAGGTTTGTTCTGGCAGGGGGTTTCCTACTCCTGTATGTTCTTACCAAGTATTTTCTTAGGACTGGCAATAAAAAGAAGAGGAAAATTAATGTCAAGAAATAATCCACAGTAATAGACTAGCATAGCTAAAGCAATTAAAATTATATAGGTAGTGAAACTGGATTGCCTAATTAGTTAACTGCAAATGTCTTTACTGTTACTACCTGTTACTTGACTCCAAGCTTCACCTTTACCTAGGAATCACAGCTAGCAGATACTATTTTTTTCATAAATTTTAACTGCTAAATTGCACTAAAATTTAGGTACTCTGAGATGTTTCTTTGAAAGAAACAGCTGCTTCCAAGCTGTTGTGCTTTCTAAGATGCTTTTATTCTGGCAGCTGCATTTCCAGACTCAACAATGGCATGATGCCTTGAGCTTCCTGCTCTCTGGACAAGGATGCAAGAGAACTGGATCTGAGGAGACCTTTGCAGTAGAACTCTGGGCCACAAGCAGTTGCTGCCGTGACTGGCTCTCCTCTGTGGGTTCATCCAGGGCAGCTCAGGGTTGGAGTATTTACATGCTAGCACAAATAGAACGATAAAGGAACATTTGGCCAAGTGTCAATCTGAGTAGTTTGAGGATTCATTCTACCAACTGTTCATATGTAGCTTTGCTTTGCAGCACAGTATTAAGGTTTAGGAATGGACTAAGACTCGGGAACGGACTAAGGCTCTGTTGGACTACAGGAATCACAGAAGTTCAGGTTTTAAGGTGATGTGGCATATCCTAATCCTATTCATACATTTTGAGTTTCTTTTTTAAAAAGTCACTATTTTCCTTCTAGCAGATAAAGATGCATTTTGTTGGAATATGTTTTTTTGAAAAATGTCTTTTAGAAAGGAAAAAGTTTCATGCTTCTAAACACTGGGTTGGGGTTTAGGGGGGCTTTGTTTTTTGGCTTTTTTTTTTGAGACTTAATGTTAACATTTGGTCATGAAATGTGCCTGAAGAAGCAGCAGCTGGCTCCCTGGAGGTACGCCTCAGAGATCTGTGATTGTTGGATGGTTTGTAAGACTGGCCCACAAACCTCCTGTGTTGTTAGAGTATTGGTGGGTCTATGTATCAAGATTACTCTTGTCACAGCTATTCATTCTGGCTAGACTAGGCTTTGCAAACATAATTAATTTAACCTGTGCTTTAGAAATGAAGGTGGTCTGACTTCTAATTTCCTGTAACTAATACAAAGTAGGAATGCAAAGAAAATAGACTGCAAGGAACAAGCTCTAGTCTGATTCTTTGTCTTGTAGCTGCTTTAATGGCTTTGTTTCAATTATAGAATAAGTATATATAAGTAAGCAATTTCTTTTAGGACTATGGGAAAGCAAAACCTTTCTTGACTGGTTGATTGTCTAGCAGGCTTCCAGTGGGTTTTGTGTCATTGTGCTTGGGAAGTACTCTGCTGCAGGAGGCATTGAAAAGGGATACATAAGAGGTGTCATGTCCTGTATTGAAATTGGTAGTGATTTGTTTCCCATGTCTCAGTTCTCATTAGTGAATTGTAATAAATGATGTACTGTATAGACTTTCCATGTGATATCCATGGCCTTGAAGGCCTGGGAGACTAATAAATTCCTACCTGGATGAGACTTTTTTTCTTCTGCCAGATGAACTCAGTCAATTGTAGAGAGGATCTTGTGTTCATTTACTCTGAGCATCTTGAAAGTTTTGTGAGAATGAGTGTTTCTGAAGAACTGCTATAATTAGTTCATACAGGAATGGTGACACTCTTCTGGAAGGTGTATGAAAACTTTCCATAATGGAAAATATCTCCCCCAGCTTGGTTTTATTAAAGTTCCAGTTAAGATATTAGATACACTTATAAAGAAGTCAGAGAAGATTCTATACAGAAATTCCAGTAAAACCCCAACTGTGTTAGAAAGCTGATACCGA